CGGAAAATTCAATAATATGACAACAGTTGGCAATAACATTAGATGTCCTTTTTATATTCTACCACACATATTAGAAATGGATCAGAGAATTACTTCGCGAAATAGATTTCCTCATGTTTTAGTGTGAATACTTATATGTATGTAGTAGCCATTACTGTCCTTAGGCTTGGTTAAACATTTGGGACACTTATTTCCTATCTGTACAAGATTTATTTCAACTGAATAAATCAAATATACTAATTGTATGTACTTGTGGGTTTTTATAATCTTCTGGATTCGTCAGCACCTCTACCTTTGTCTTTCTAACCTTATCTCACTGAATTATACTTCTTGAATAATATCTTCAAACCCTAGTCTTCTTCATTACCAATAATACCTGTACTATCTTTATCACTATGGACTTTGATTTGACATTTGCGTCTCTGTGCCAGTGAGGTATGGCAACATGAACTTATGTACATACGTACGAAGTTCTACGTTGCAATTGACTGATAAGTAGTTGACAATTTATGGCTGTAATAAACGCTAGAAAGCTCGAACATAAACACACTGTGATTTATGTCGTCATTTCCTCTGTATCTAACCTTTGAACTTTGCAATTCATTCATTCAGTATATGATACTTTAAGAAAAAATACTGCACTTAAATATTGCTGAACTTATAGAGAACGTTTACAATTGAAAATGAGTGACAGATACTGACTATTGGACAATATTTATGAAATGTATTATACGAATCATTACATTTTTAATGTATATTTAAAACAAATTTATTTCAGTAATGCATGCAATGATGCTTTGATTTCTCAACTGTAACGAAATTCATAGAAATGAATAAAAACTTTACTAACTGTTATTAACTCTTTATTTGTAACTTTATGAAAAAGAGAACTTAAACTTTATTATCGAGTATTGTGTGAGTAGTGATAAACTTGTTCTACCAATTTTCATTTCTCATATGATACGCCCTCTCAAGAAAATTGTATAATAATGGTTTAAGCAGTTGGTAAAGAAAATATTGACAACAAACCTTAGTCAAGCTGGTTCTAGTCAGTAAGGCGAGGAGACTGATACGGTGCATGAAATTGAAATTCATGTTAGTCAGTCTTACAGTCAGGAAGATATTGCCATTGAATTCACGAACCGACATCTTATTCACATTCATTCTCTTCTTAGAAGATTGCCAGCCATCGAGATATCTCGACTTGTGCTTTTTTGTACTTTGTGAAGTGATAGTTCGTAAACGCGCCTGAATAAACTATGCAATAAGTAGATATAATTGACGTGTTAAAACAAGCAGAAGTAACGTGTTGAAATATTTATTGTTAGGAAACAGGTAGCCCATTCATTTATTTAATAATCAAACAACATCAAAAAGTCAACAGTTGTATTGCATTAGATACTTAACAATCAAGGTGACTGTGATGATAGTTACGTAACCCAGATTATTTCAGGTAAATGCAAATATCCACCTGATCAAAAGAATAAGGAGGTTATTTAGCGCATGTGGACACGAAAGGTCATATCATTCCACATATGACAATTGGGTTTAATTCAGAATAAGTGTAACGTTTTTTCCACATGGAAAATTATGAGTACTCCTTTACAGCTTAGAGAAAATGTTATTTATTTCACTCTCTGAAACATCTGACACAATGAAAACGCTGGATTTTAACACAAAATTAACAACTTCCCAAGAATGATAAAGAAGTATGCCAGAACTGTACAGGATCTAAGATGTTTAGATGACTTTGTTCACAGTGTAAATAAGTAGGATAAGTGAATCAGGCTGTCGACTAAATTTTTCTCTAATGTCTGTTAATTACCACTTATGCAAGGAATTTCTGAAGCAAAAATTTGATTAAATAAACTACATAAACGAGCTGACATGTTTGTTAAACATCGAATGCACAAGAGAACGATTAGCAAATTTACCAACAAACTAAAGTTAGGACATTGTTTTTCACGGTATAATCTTAATTTAAAAATCTTTTACTAAGTTAGTGAATTCACCTAAAAATGCATGCTATACGTCTGAAAACGAAAGTTAGTTAATCCGTAATCATGAAATTGAGATTTATAAAAAAAAAGAAAAACTATCTCATTTTTCAGCAACCTAAAACTATGCCAGCTTATTTTACATGAGTACAATGTAACAGAAAAATGGTGTTTTTGTGCATCAATACAAATTTCCAATTCATTCATATCACACGTAAAATTATACTGTCCTATTTTTATTTAATTTACGAAAAGACGTAAACACAACATTTCAATGTGCAAATAAAAATACAAACAAAAATAATGCACATATGAATTAAGAAGAAAAAAGAGCATTATTGAAAATTTCACCTTTCTAACTCTTAAACTAGTTGTTTTATTCATAAAGAATCACTGTTCCATTGATTTCATTTGACTCGTATCAGCAGTATTCTGGCAATAAGATATTACTAATAGGCCTAGCTTTTACAAGAGAAAAAACAATTTAATCTACTCAAATATGTTATTTTTGTCATGGTAAAAATGCAGATTGTGTTTTGTTTATTTTGAATAAACTTGTGTACTTATCTATGCAGACATTGTTGATACGGTTAGTGGAGCCAACCATCATAGGAAAAGTTTTTATTTTAATGCAAGATGAAAATTTTAAAGCATAGTCATGCTCATAAAAAAATAAATTTTAACAAAAATCTAACAAAAACTTTTTCAGCTAAGATTATTTCATCTTTATTATTAAGGAAGGTTGTGTACAAATTGTTTCGACCACCCTAATCGATTGGCTACTAGGGTTTGATCAATAGCTTACTAACCATTGTCGGTATTTCACCAAATATCATTGGTTAAATTTTTCAGTTTAAATAACTTGCCTTTGTAATACTTTGAATAATTATAAAGCTAAAACTCATGCAACTCAATCTCAGCATTTATCGATCAAATCAAGAATCATATAGAGTTAGAGGTTTTTATTGCAATACAACATTCTTTCGAAAGTTTCGTTTAAAATGTTTACTAATAATTGTGATCATATACGAAATCTAATTTTAAGATTTCTTATTGGTTTTCTGAAAATATATCATTTAATGATCACATTACTATGCTATGACAAAAACAAATATCTGGAATACTCAGTGATAGCGATTATTCATGATGAAATACATGTGTCGGCTGTTTTAAGCATTTTAATAATTGTTTATCAGTTTTAAATATTTCTAGCTCCTTATATGCAGAAGTTATTTGCATCGTTTAGTCAAGTTAAAGACATCGCCAAATATCATTTGAAAAACAAAAAAAAATTATTTGAAATGTTTATTACTATGCCTTTTGATATGATGAATAGAAATCTAGTTATATTTTCTAGCTTATTTCATCAATTATTTGAAGCATTTAACTTCACAACTGTCTAGTTACGGGTTCTAAAGTCATTGCCTCTACTTTGATTTGAGAACTCTCCGAACAAAATGTCTTATCTCAAACGAAATACATGGATTCATATTGTTTTCTCATCAAACCAGTCATCAGCTCTAAAACTGAATGAATGATTTTCGTTCAATATTGTTGAAAGTAGTTTATTATCACTTTATGATATACTCCGGTTTGTTGAATTTTGTAGACTTGTGAAAAAAATTACGTTCAAGACATCGACATTATTTGAATTTCACAGTTTATTTGACCGATAATATTTAGGATGTGCTTGGTAGCTTTACTTGACATAATGGTTTTATTGTGTAGCTTTAGTGTTTGGTATTAAGTTAATTAAAATGATAAAATGTCAATTTGTATAGTTTAGAAAGTAATAATACGAGTCCTGAATAGGACGAAACATGCCTCCTGGATTGCATCGCTAGCCACTACCCATCCCTACCAATCATAACATGACTAGAGTAACGACAAGAATGTTGAAAATTTAAAACTTCCACTCGTTTATAACTAAACTTTGAGTTTTATGATAAATAATTCAGGCTTGACCAAGATAAAATACACCGTGGTGTGTGCAAATATATCGAGTCCACTGGGCTTGTTTTAGCCTTTGGATAAATTACTTAATCTTTCGACTTTGTCGATTATTCACTTATAATCTTGGTTATTTTTATTTAAGTGCGTATGTGCATTACTTGTTTCGCTTGTCATATGTCTAGCTTACTTTTATCTGACTTTTAACAATTAGTCATACTTTATCTCATTGATTTGACTTACTCGCCTCCTTCATTTCGTTTCGCTTGGCTTTCTTTGCTTTGCATGCATTTTGTTCTCATGTGTGTCTGATTGAACGGTTGTATGAAATAAACTGACTCAGCTAATCAGTATTTGGCTTCTAATTACCGCCGTTGAGTAAACGGGGTTCACCTATGCATGCATGATATACGGAAATTGAGGGGAAGATTAGGGTCAAATCCCGGGCCATTGAAACACAATAGATAAAGTTCAATGTTTTACTCCATGAAATCAAAATAGTATTTGAACTATGAGAGCAAAGAATGAATATTTCATAAAGTCATCAACAATAATCTTACAGACACTTCTTTATTTGTTAAGTCATGAACTGATAGAGTTTGCTTTCTGTGAAAAAAGGAATTCAGAGTATATTTAAGTCGTAATCAAGAAGTAGAATAAAACCAAAGTGTTTAAATCCTTAAGATAGTGTGAAATGTTAATGGATGAAGACACTGATTATTCCTATTTTAAGCCTTTAAGAGTTTTCATTTTACAAGTGATCAGTAAAAATAGATCCAAAAATCTACCTCTACGCTTCTATTAAAATCTTTAGCCTTATGCTCATAAGTGTCCTGAGAATGAGAATCTTCAACAGTAGATAGAAAACTTGGACTTAATCTTTTCGGCTGTTCTTTTGAAATCAATGGATGTGTTCACTACTACAGTTGTTTGCAAGGTAATATTGACCTTCTGAGAACAAATCACTTCTGTATGCTGCTGAGAAAGCTGGCATTCCAATCGGTTTATCACAAAACGCTCATCATTATGTTTTTATGTATTTATTTCTTCCAGAAGTTCAGAGTCTCAATATTGATCAAAAAATAAATGGCTATCACCGAATCGGGGATAAACAATACAAAAGATCATTGTATGATTCAGATACTTATCAAATAGATTCTAAACCAGAGTTGAAAGCGAATCATGGTCTAAATTTTACTCAAATTATGTGTCGTATAAATCGTCCAAAACCAAACGCTGAAGTCTACTTAGTATGTCCTGCTTTAGGCGAAGGCACAGTACAGGGAAATTGTTATCAAGGATGTCAACCGACCAATCCTTGCACACACTCAACACAGTACCAGTCTGGATGTGTGCCTCATGATCAAACAGTATTTTGTCAGAAAACCGAATTTCCTAATGGTACTGTGGTATTGAATTTAAAAGTGGATCGGACTGATAAACGACTGGCAGGTTTATGGTCTTGTACACATGCTGGTCTGGAAAGTACCAAGTTTGAGGTAAGACATTTTTGTATGCCACTTTTATGAATGCCAGTTAAATAAAAATATACAAATGCTGTTTGATGCTGAATAGGTTATACGGTAATGCATGGAAGTTTATTGTGGCAATTGAATAACATAAAAAAGTTATTCGAATTTAACGATTTCACTCAACAGTTCAACATATTTATGCAGTGTAACTTGTATCTATCACGATATACGTTTCACTAAACACCTGGACTTTGTGAAAACATTCTCTACTCACCATCGTCAAGTGAAAACAAACTATTTAAACTGATTCCCTGCTAAATTCATAAATAAATTTCTATTAAAGGATTAGAAATAACAATGCAATGTAAATATATTCATAACCAATGTTGAAAAAATGAACTAAGTTATCATTTATAATTTTACAACAACCTACCTTTATTACTATTAGGATATTCATTCAATTTCCTGAGAGAATTATTGGTCAATTCCTATTGGTTAATCCCTGCTGGTCAATTTTATGGTCGTCCTAGATATCAATGTCACGTGCTCCAATGTTGTTTCTTATTGGTCGTCTTGACTGCTAATGTCACTTCAAATATTGTTTCCTATTGGTCGACTTAACTGTCAATGTCACAGACTTTCATGCTGTTTCATATTCAACCTAAATGTATAAATACGCATTATCTGTAACGTTTTATGACCCGGACCTAGACCCAGGTCCCTAGCCCGGGATCCTGACTCATTTCTGGACTCGGGCCCCGTACCTTCTGGATGCTCATAGAATACATGCTCTATTTCATATCAAATCTCCTTTCACTCAATGGAGGTTGGGACACTCAGATTAGAGTAGCACGTCGTGTCACCGGATCCTCGATCCTAGCTCTCGTTTTCCGACTAAGGCAAACTCGTAATAGTTCAAGCATATCAAGTTGTGTTTACGTGCATGAGTAACAATTACTAATCAAACAGATCAGACTGAAAACGTTGCTTAAGCTGTTAAAAAGTCATATTTTTAAATACAACTTTCTACATTTTATTTCTATCTATATTTAATGTCTAAATATGAAAGTGAATAGATAGCGTTACATTATGAGATGTTCTAACCTTCATTTCACTGTGTGCAGTAGTCAGATGTTTTATATTCACCTTCTGTCCAACCGACGGCTTATCGATGTATGTTTCATCGATAGTTTACAAAAGTTGAAAAGCTATTAAAAATTATAGAAATTTGAGAATCTGTTTTCTTTTATTGATGTAATCCACAGCAATAAATATTCATCACATCGCATGGTGCTAAACTCACGACTACGTGGGCCAGGACTTTCATCTTATGTCGTATTCTTGACTAGATAATTTATTCGACAACTTAGTTTATAACAAAAGTTGTCTTCAAAACTTGATATATCTTTCTAGATGAAATTCATTGAAATAACCAGTTTTTGTGAAACCCAGAAACAATCTTTTTAATCGTGTCAGTAATGTTACAACTTTGAGTGTAAAACCAATATCTACTTTGACTACCTATTAATAGATCAATAGGTGGTCTTGCATAGAAAACAAATATCACTGTGTAAAAGATAATACGTCTTAAGCAGGAATATCGCGACAAAGATTCTTACTTTTGAACCAACTTCTTGGCAGATAATCAAGTTTTACGCATCTGTTTGTCAGCTAATTATAACACTAAAATTATAAATCATCATCAAGATCCAATCCCAAATATTATTATTCAGCAACAGAAACATTAATCCTTAAATCACATAGTTCTTAATATAATCGTACCTAGTCGATTTGTCAGAAAATATAATTTACTCTAATCAGAATATTATTCACTTTGTTCTTTATCCAAATGTCTTAGAATGCATTAACTTTATATACCCTTACTTACTTACTTACTTACTTATTTACTTACGCCTGTTACCCCCCAATGGAGCATAGGCCACCCACCAGTTTTCTCCAACCAACTCTGTCCTGGGCTTCCATTTCCAGTTTTGTCCAATTTTTGTTCATTCTTCTTATATCTTTCTCTATTTCTTGGCGTAATGTGTTCCTTGGCCTTCCTCTTTTCCTTTTACCTTGAGGGTTACATGTGAGGGCTTATCTTGTAATGCAGTTAGATGCTTTCCACAATAAGTGTCCTATCTACTTCCAGAGCTTCTTCCTGATTTCCAACTCTGCTGGAATCTGGTTTGTTCTCTCCCACAGTTCGTTGGTGGTGATAGTGTCTGGCCAACGAATCCTCAGTATTTTGCGTAGACAACTGTTTCATAAACACTTGTATCTTCTAGGTGATGGCTTTCGTAGATCTTCAAGTTTCCGCTCCATACAGTAGAACTGTCTTGACATTTGTATTGGAAATCCTGATTTTGGTGTTGGTTGAAAGTTGTTTGGAGTTCCAGATATTTTTCAACTGTAGAAATGCAGCCCTTGCTTTGCAAATCCGCGCCCTCACATCTGCATCGGATCCACCTTGATTGTCGATTATGCTGCCCAGATATGTAAAGGTGTTATCGTCCTCCAGGGCATCTCCATCAAGAGTGAATTGGTTGGTGCATGTTGTGTTGCATCGGAGAACTTCGCTTTTTCCTTTATGTATGTTGAGACATACTGCTGCAGAGGCTGCTGCTACACTGGTTATCTCTTGCATTCATTGTTGCTTGTGAGATAGAAGAGCCAGGTCGTCTGAGAAGTCCAGATCGTCCAGCTGCGTCCTAGCTGTCGATTGGATAACGCGCTTCCCTCCATAAGTTGGTGTCTTCATAATCCAGTCGATGACCAGGAGAAAGAGAAAGGGCGACAGTAAGCAACCTTGCCTGACACCGGTCTTCACCTAGAAAGAGTTTGTTAGCTGTCCTTCGTGTACGATTTTGCAGTTGAATCCATCATAAGAATTCCGTATGATGTTAACTATCCCCTAGGGCACACCTATTGCATCAATAAATTATTTCATATGTTGGAATAGGCTGATACTAAAAAAAGAACAACTTGAACAACTTTAATTGAACTGTTACATTCTACTTAAATAGGTAATTTTTTAAATTTAAAAAACCATTTAATAGAAATCATCTTGAATTGATTTGTTTTTTCTCGTTTCAAACAACAGATCGAATTGAAAAGTTATTCAAACATGAATGAAGTGAATCCACTTTCAAAACCATTAGTAAAACAAGAAAAACATGAATCACGTACAAGTGAGTTCAATTGATAAGCTATCAATTTTCATTGTACTAATCAGGAAATATTATTATCTTAAAAGTTATTGATTTTCAGTAAATTCAAATAAAATTATAAATATTAATCTGAATTGTACCAGCTGTTAATATTTAAATAATGCAAAATTAAGTAAAAACTTATGTGGTTTGTAGAAATCTCAAACATTCCAAACTAAAGTTATTTATCATTTGTCGTTGAAAATCACTTTCATGATTGCTGAATTAGTCCAGACAGGCTAAATCTTCCAGTTATTTAAAAGTGATGTAAACTGAATAAAGTTAAGAACATATGTCACTGTAACTCAGATCAATGTTTTGGTTCTCCAAAAAGCTTCTAAATGTAGCTTTATATTCTAAGATAATTCAAGTATGTACATTACTATGCAAATTTAACGTATCACAGGATAGCTTCAGACTACCAACTTATAATTAGTTAATCTGGGATCATTCAATGGGTACATATGTCCACCCATTTATGAATATAATCATTTTCTGTGCTGTTGGTTGCAGCATTACTTTTATAAACATTATTTGTATACCTATTAAATCCATTGAACAGAATCAAATATATGTCTTCTTAGAATAGCGTGAAAAAAAGACGGAGAAACTGGAAAAAATTGACATTACCTAACTGTTCTGATACTTTAATGAAGGAATACATAACTAAATACAAGTAGGAAATGGTCAGACAAAAATTTTGTAACTAGTTTTGTCTATTCGAAAGCTTTGGAATACATTCGACTTAACTAATCAATAAGGCTTGTGCTAGAGAATCAAAGATTTGTTAATGATGTCCAGCACAAAAGTATGTGGATATTAGTTTAACTGACTTTACGTTATTTTTTGGGCATAGTTAGTACCATTTTTTTCATTTAGTTGATACTAAGCGTACCTTGAATTCATAAGAAGGCACCATTGTTGTTTTTATAACCGGTTTCAAACATTTTTCCTAAAGGTTCACCATTATGTCTCGTACACACAATAAATTTTATGAATAATTCTGTAGAACAGTCCTTACTCACTTACTTACTTACTTATTTACTCCTGTTACCCCCAATGGTGCATAGGCCGTCAACCAGTTTTCTCCAACCAACTCTGTCCTGGGCTTCCCTTTCTAGTTCTTTCCAGTTTTTGCTCATTCTTCTCATGTCTTTCTCTATTTCTCGGCATAATGTGTTCCTTGGCCTTCCTCCTTTCCTTTTACCTTGAAGGCTCCAGATTAGTCCTACTTTTACTCAAATTGGTTAATTTCGTTTCAGATATGCCCAGTTTGATTTTCCTCACTAACCTATCTTTGTCTTTTTATGAAACAATCGTGATATCAATTGATGTTTATCATTATGATCATAGTTGATCATTAAATGTGAATACAATAACTGTACGTTAAAATCGATGAATCAATCTGATGAGTCAGTTAAATGAATGTTTATTTCTTTTCCAACTTTGTATTACTCTATAGACTGAAAACTAACTGTTTCGTCTATAAATTAATCATTGTAAAAAATGAGACTTGACCTGATAAGTAGTTGTCGTATTTATCATACCCATCATATTCCTATTACAACTACTCTCATCTAACCAACTCTTAGTCACATTTTCTCTTCTCTAACTAAACCTATTTACTTATCTGCATAATATTGGCATAGATAGATTATTAATGACAACGCAAAACATACACACATCGACATAGTGAAAATTTTTATTTACATGTGTGAGTTAAGATCAATATGGTGTCTAGATTTGAGTTCAACACACACAAAAAAATAAACCAGTCGAAAATGTATTTTTAAATAATCGAAATAACATTTCAATTTTTCCTGCATGATTATTGTTCAATTTTTTGTTTTGCAATCATGATCAATGCCAAAAAAATTATCAAAGAATAAAAGATAAATCTTAGTTTGTGTAGTTCATAGTAACGTCTAGTTTTTTGTTTGTTTGTAATTTTCATAGACATCGATTTAAACCAGTCAATTAGAGACATAGTCATTGTATAAATCTTTTAGTTTTAAACACACCCATCATCATGTGATATTTTCTTTCAGAATAATAATAATGTTGTACATTTATGGTGATTGAGATTTTACAGTAAAAACTATGAACTTCATTTATAGTAAAATCATATTCATAATTGAAAATGATTAAACTAAGAAAGAACATTAATAAATAATTAGTTAATTAATTAGAATAACACATATCGATAAACGATATTGTCTCAAAACAGATCATCGTTAGAATTTGCTAGAATATACATAAATATTTATATATATGGTAAATGGAAGTATTAAACCAATCATGGCAATTTATAAGTGATTAATCACAATGAAATAGATTGTATAATTACACATAATAAGTGAAATGTATGAATTGATAGTCAGAAGGTAGGTATATGCAGAATCGTGTATAGAAAGAACTTCTCTGCTCGTCGATAAACACACTTCGATACTTTTACATCGGTCAACTACGAAAGAAATCGATTCAAATTTTTTATAACTAGAGCAAAAACGACGCTGCTTAGTTGTTATTAGTTAAGAAGAAGTTCAACTTTGTTATTAACGTAATGGTAGAAATAGACTACTCAAATAGGTTTTCAAGAAGCATATGTGTATGCAATAAATATGTTGAAAATATGAACTATTTAAAAGAAACCTGTTCTCCTAAAACAATAATTCAATGTGGATTGGATTAGTGATTTACTGTATGATAGTTTAAGGAGTGCAGTTTGAAATATATTTTATACAGTTAGTCTTATAGTGACAGTTTCTAGACAACTAGTGATATCTACTCAAATAGAAGATAAATTACTTAAATTACTTAAGATGCATATCTTTAAATTCAACTAATCGTGTAGATATATCTATTGAACGTACTATAACGCAACTAAACCAAAAGATTAATGAACATCTTTCAGCTTAGTTCGGAAAGGGTCAGACCGAAACAATGTTTGGCTCTATCATGGGATATCTAGGTAGATAAAACCAGACCACTTCGAGTAACTTATCACATACCTTAGTCGTTTTCTGATGAGATTTGATCTCATCTCCTACATCAGGCAAGAGCAACTTTGATTTATGTACACAAAAGAATTCATAGTACTCCAGTCTCTTTCTCAGTCTGATAAGAGCGATTTTATTCACCGAACATGCGTCTTTTTCATCCCTCACCTCCTTCCATCTAAATCTCTCATTCTGATTACCTCCTATGTTAAACTACTGTATAGAACTTATATTATTGTATTGTTCTGATTACAACTCGTACACCTGTCTCTTGACCATCATCAGTTCATATGCTTTTATCTATTATGTGTAATTATACAATCGATTTCATTGTGATTAGTTTAATCCTTTCATTTACTATACAAATAGTCATGTATATTAAAGTAAAATCTGATGATGATCTATTTGGCGACAGTATTGTTCGTGTATACATGTTATTCTATTTTTTTTCACAGAGGGGATCTTTAATACTTTAGAAATAATTAATTACCTATTGATCAGAAATGAAGATAAAAAACTTCCAAACTTCATAGCAAATACATGTCTAGTAAAATACATAACTGGTGTGTTTTACATCATAAACCACATATTTTTAAGTTATTCACCTTCACTAATACGAATGATTGTAGATTCTAATTCAAAAGCATTCTAACTGTTTAACAATAACTTAGCAAATAATTCAATATCCATAGCAATCTGAAAACACAGGAATAGAACAGGTAATAGACAATAACTAAATAGACTAATTATAACCTACTAATAATCTGATATATGCATTCTGTCCATTTTTTTTGAGCAAAATATAGTCTCTTATGCTCATTATTTATTGACAACTTGGATTGTGTAGATGTTTTTTGTTGTAATTGAAGTTCTTAATATATTCAAAAAGTGTAGTTTAAGATTAGCTTGATGATATTTGAGGTTATAATGGCATTGAAGTCATTATTTTTTTTAAAAAATAAATACCAGAATAATAAATTTTTTTAAAATTAGAATTTCTACAACTTTGATCAGATTCATCAAAAAATCTCGTTGGATGAAATGTGAAGCTTAAATTTACTTGGTTATTAGCTGTTAAACGACAGTGCTTATACCTCCTACTTATTGATTACTAAAACTATTGAAGATTACCAGTCTGATGGTTGCAACTGCTTTACAATCGATAACCTGTCATTATAATAAACGTTTTCACTCCTTCTCTTTATTTGTTGCCTTCATGTATGTTTTTAGTTTTTAATTGTCACTGATATTATTACTGTGCTTTCAATTTCATTGTTATTTATATCTTTACTGTGTTAGTTTGTAAAAGAATCACCTAGACTGATGTACGAATACTGCAACTCTTGAGTTATTTTTATTTGTTTCTCTAGAGAATTAAAATGAAATACAGATAAATTGTTTCATGGAGAATCGTGTATATTTTTTATCATAAACCATTTGACAGCATGGAAGAAGAGAAAACTGTTCTAGTTACTGACATTATTCACTGACGGTCACATTGAACTCAGGACGTTTATTTCCCATAGTAGCCATGATAAACTATGACCCCTGACTCAGAATCTAGCAGCTGACATTTTCAATTTTATTTAATATGTAATTCAATGTGATTGTTGTATAATGTCACTGATGATTTGCTTTCACTCTTTTGAATTGACTAACTCTATAGGCCACTGCATTTTATTAAAATTTTGTGGGGATCATTTTGAGACTATCTAGTAACAAGTAGAGGATAATGTTTCGGAGAGGTTGGTTGGAAGAAAGGTACTGGATATTGTTGGTACATTAGGGTTCCTACTATCTGAGTGGTTGCATCAAAGCATTGAACTCTAGCGTTCAGGTCACAGTGTAAAGGCCCGAATAGTGTTCGGCTCTGATGAAAAACCAATGCAAAATTACCCTCATGCAGGGTATATTTATATATTTGTGAATTACATATTGTGATTTTAATATCCAAATGATAGTTCTCATAAATAAAATTAGCCAGATTAGAACAAATATGATACTTCATGTTTTCACACCTTTAATTATAAAAATGGTAGGTAGAAACACCTCTAACACTCTTTAATGTACAATTAAAATAATCATAAGTTTATTAACCATAGATTGAAACTCTCTATATTTACCATTAAGAAGTTCCTTCTAATGAAGGATTCTTCTAATTTTCAGAACTTATCTTTCCTATTTACTCCAACGTTATTACAATAATTCGTCTTTCTTATTCATGTTATTGATGTCTAATAAAGATGACAATGGGAGATCATCACACTATAATGTAAATTGACTTCGTTTAAAAATGTACAACAAGGATAACCTACTTAGTCATTTAAAACTAATGTGTTCGTTGATAAGTCATTAGCGAATTCGATAAAGTAGACCAAATTTATGCACCCCAGGATGATGAAGTTTCCTCAACTAAATTTAGGATATCAGATAACAAAAAAAGTGCTTGGAACCTTCATTTCCGGTTTCGAATCAAGTCCGGACTTTATGAAATCGTATCCGTAGATTAAAGGTTGTGCTTCTACCTAATACTATTTCCCAAAAGTTAGGACAGACTTCATGAATGAGTTCATTGGCTTGATAGGCATATTACCTTACAGAAAACTAGATGATCTATATTATAAATCAAGCTACTTTCACTGTGAATTTTAATTAACTGAAATCATAACTCAGTAATTACCCAATCAACAGATAATAATACAACCAACTACATTAGTGTTCGTTAGCGTTTTTCTAGAGACTTAGTATTTTATGGGATGTGGTCGCCAACCTCATGCTCAAACCTCCTCCTTTATCCGGGTTTGGGACCGGAAGCAGCCCCAGACGGGCTCCAGGCGGAGTTAATGAACTACATTACTAAATATAAATGATTAACACGACAAACTTAGCGCTTTAGTGACTAGCAATTACAGTTAACAGTTGCACTGCTAATTTGTATCAAAAAATTATCTATAATAATGTGTTAAAGTGTTTTAAGAGTATGTATTATATTACTTTATGAATTATAATCACAATATACTTTTTGAATTTTGAATGAAATATATGTCTTCATGAAGCGCTATTCGAAGAAGAATTCTGTTCATAAATATTATCATTCATAATAGATTGATCTATCTAATAGGTATGAATTAATTAAGCTTATTGACAAGTTAGTTGAACTGTCATTTAACAGAAGGGATCCAGATTGTCTAGTTTATTTAAATTTATTCAAGTTGTTTTATTGAATGTATTGACATAATTAATGACTTCATAGAATACGTTCATTTTTGATATTTTAATCCGCTAAACAACAATCTTTCGATCGAAGTTTCACATTTGTTTTTACTTCTCAATGAAGACTATTTGTAATTATCGAGGCAAAACTTCAACTTTCTTTACAATGCCAACTTTTGTTGTAAATATAATGTATAAATTATTCAGACAATGACTGAACTGTGTTAGGGTGAATCAGTCATTGAATAATAGCTTGTGTTAGCCTTGAATGCTTAAGGTTAATATGTTGACAGATATTTGTTTAACGATCTCGGATAAAGTGAATTATTGATATACTGATGAAGTTATCGTCAGTATACTACAAAGATAATAACTATTATTTCATTTGTTGCTTTACATGAATAAACTATAAATCATTTCAGAAAAAGATAATCGATAAAATGTTCAGCACATCCAATTCCTTGGTTTTTATGTAAATTCCTGTGTTTGAGTTAGGATTTAGTTGAAAGTGTTTCTAATCCTATTGATATTCAATAATGTTGTCATACATCATACCATTTATTGTTTGACATACTTCTGTTCGAAAGAACTAAACGATCTCTACCAACTTATAAGATCATTTGAAAAAAAAATGGTCCTGATAGTTTGTTATTGCCAGTGTGAATTACATTACAAGGATTTGACCAAGACTGCCTTTTTCTACAACTAATAGCTATTATCCCGACTACTAAGATTTCGATCACAGTCATCTCAACAGTACACATTTCATAACAATTAACGTTCTTTACACTGTTTTTGTTTTACCTGTAATATGCATTTTATTGATGAATGGATATTAGTTCAGCACAATTATTGCATTGTTTTGTTTTTCACATTATAATAGGCTATGTATTGATCAAAATGATTTGAAAAGTATTGAATTGATACTTCTTTATTTTTTTGTCAATTTTGATTACAGTTAATCATCTTGACATTCATAAACATTTATTAATCATCTAGATTTAAAGATAAATTATGCTTTCTGACAAGATAGTCAACATCATACGAAATTCTTATGATGGATTAAACTGCAAAACCGTGCGTGGAGGACAGCTGACAGACTCATTCAAGGTGAAGATCGATGTCAGACAAGGTTGCCTACTCTCACCTTTTCTCTTTCTCCTTGTGATCGACTGGATTATGAAGACATGAACATATTGAGGGAAGCACAGTATACAGTGGACAACCAGGATGCAGCTGAACAATCTTGACTTCGCAGATGATCCAGTTCTTCAATCACAAACGTAACAACAAATGCAAGAGAAGATGACCGGTGTATCAGCAGCCTCAGCAGGTCTCAACATACATAAAGGGAAAAAAAAGATTCTTCGATACAACACGATATTCGCCAACCAAATCACTCTTCATGGAGATGCTTTGGAGGATGCAAAAACCTTTACATATTTAGGCTGCATCATCGACAATCAATGTGAATCCGATGCAAACGTGAAGGTGCGGATCGGTTAAGCAAGGGCTGCATTTTTACAACTGAACAACATCTGGAACTCGAAACTACTGTCAATAGACACCAAAATCAGAATTTTCAATTCAAATGTCAAGACAGTTCCACTTTACGGGGCGGGAACTTGGAAAACTATGAAAGCCATCATCAAGAAGATACAAATATTCATAACAGTTGTCTACACAAAATATTTCGGATCCGCTGTCCAGACCCCTTCAGTAACAAACTTCTGTGGGAGAGAACAAACCAGATTCCAGTGTTGGAGCAAATCAGGAAGAAGCGGTGGAAGTGGATAGGACACACTGCAGAAAGCACCCAACTACGTCACAAGACAAGCCCTAACTTAGAACCCTAAAGGTCAAAGGAAAAGAGGAAGGCCAAGAAACAAATTACGCGGAGAAATAGAGAAATATATGAGAAGAATGAACAAAAGTTGTACAGAACTGGAAAGGGAAGCCTAAGACAGAGTAGGTTGGAAAATACTACTCGGCGGCCTATGCTCCATCGGGGTTGACAGGCTTAAGTAAGTAAGTAAGTTTAAAGATAAAATGTGATGAATTGACTGAGGTTCGAACAAAGTACGAGTTGACTAGAAATCAGTGAAAATATGTATACTTAGCGAGAATAATTCACCCAATATCAACTTTAAAGTTTTTGATGTTACACTAGTTTCATAATTAAGAGACATTTTCAACTAAAATCGAAATTTTCATGCAATACACCAGAAACTAAGGAACCTGGCCTTATTATTTTATCGAAAATCTGGTTTGTTTTAATTTGTTATTCTATTTTTAGTTGTACAATTGTTGAACATGAATTGTACTTTTATTCCATTTATTATATTTTTATAGAAATTTTACAAAATACACACTCTAATCAAGATAATTTGGTCAATAATCGATCAAGTAAGTAAAATTTTAGTTTAGTTTATTTTTCTTCGGATGCGAAAGCAAGGTTTTAAGTAATTATGAGAATTATGACCCCTGTTAGAGTTTTCTATGTACTCCATATTGAAAAATTACCATGACTACTTATAACTTAGTATTTATCAAATGCGTTTTTATCATCCAGAATATATAGAACAATAATTTATATTTAGTTTACAAATAATGTTTAGTTGAAATACATCTACCTGTTAAACATGATTTTATGGGTTGATTAACATGAAAACATACAATGCAATTGACTATTACTCTAACTATGATATAATTTGTTAATGAGCATCAGAACTATTTAAAGAAATATTAACAGAGGTGAATAATGGCTAGCAGTAGAATTCACAACGCGTGTTTCGTCCTATTTGGGACTCGTTAGCTGGATGTACCTACATCCCAAAGTTGATGTTGACTTAGGGACTTCAACTAAGTACCGTTTGCTTCAAATGCCACTGTACTGTCTACTCAGCTACTGAGTCCATATAACTACCGACTTATGCTATGGAGGGAAGTTCAGTTCATTCGTAATAGTTAATTGAAATTTCCCATTGATGTTTAGGATTGCAGCTGATTAGTCTTTTGGTCATATGTGCATCATGTGAACATCAAATCTATGATGCAGGTACATCCAACTGACGATTCCAAAACAGGACGAAATGCGAAATAGATTCCACTGATAGCGACCATTCCTAATAATGGTTGTGACCTAATCGTAATATCGAGGCTATCATCTGTAAAAGAGATTGATTAATCGCATGCCAAAACATCAGTGACATGGTTCAAACAAATAACACAAATGTATTTAACAAAGTAGTTACCAGAAGGACAGAATACCTGTCTTTCATAAAAACGCCACCAGAAATTTAAACAAATTCACTTCATTTGAATAATCTGTTGAAGTGAATTTATTATGTGAACAAGATTTTGTCAGTACAGATACTACTTACCTCTGTTACCACTCATAGAACATAGGTCACCAACTAGGATTCTCTGACCAGCTTTTCTTCGGGACCTCCTTTCCAGTTGTTTTCACTTGCCGTTCATTCTTTTCATTAGTGTTTCCTATTCACAGCGTAATGTATTCTTCAGTTTGCTTCGTTTCCTTTAGCCTAGGGGATTCCAAGTTATGGCCTGCCATGTGACACAGTTGGATGCTCCCTTCAATGTATTTCCTACTCACCTGCTCCACTTTTTCCTAATTTCTTCCTCAGCTAAGATATGGTTTGTTCCCTCCCACAGTAGGTTGTTGCTGATGCAGTATCTTGCCTAGAAAACTGTTAGTTCTTCAAGCTTCCGCTCCATAAAATAGAACTGTCTTGACGTTCGTATTAAAAATTCTCTTTTTGGCGTTGGTTGATAGTTGTTCTGAGTTCTAGATGTTCTTCAACTGTACCAATACTGCCCTTACTTTTCCGATCTGCGCCGTCACATCTGCATCAGATCCAGATTGCTCATCACTGTTGCTACCCAGATATGTAAAAGGTACCATACCTTCCAGAACTCGTCGATCAAATATGTCATATCAGAAGATCTTGCTTTTTCCCTTGTGTATGTTGAGACCTACTGCTGCTACTACACTGGCCGTCCTCATCTGGATTTGTTGTCGATTTTAGGATAGCGGAACTAGATCACCTGCAAATTCCAAATCGTCTGAATGCATCCTAAGTGTTCGCTGTATCCGTTGTTTCCTTTGAGATGTTGATATCTTCAAAGTCCAGTCGACCACCAGAAGAAAGAGGATGGGTGAGTGTTAGCAGCCTTATCTAACACAGGTATTCGCTTTGAAGGAATCTGTGAGCTGCCCTCTATACACAATTTCGCAGTTTAATCCGTCCTAAGAATTCCGTAAGATGTTGAGTATCATCTCAAGTACACCATAGTGTTGAAGAACGTTCCATAAATGTCTCCTATTCACTCTGTCAAATAGCGTATAGTAATGAGTTCTATCCAGTTGATCTAGAATGCCGTCATCTAGCCAGTTGGTCTCGAAGTTTTGTGGCTACTGAATCTTTTTGTGAGTGTGATAACACTGTTACAAACATTTTTTAGTACTGATACTAGTGTGATGACCCAGTAGTTCTCACACTGTGTTTTGCCTTTCTTGATTTGCTTGATAAACATGCTGATTTCTTCGACTGTTGCTGGTTAACATCCAGAAAACGCTAATCAGTATAGACATATTTTACGGTAAATATTTCGCTAATCTACACTTCATTTCACAATTTAATATTACTGAATTATGTTAAACGGGTTGGTAATCTTATTACGTCGATAGTTATCTTCATAGTAATCTCATCTAACTCGGCCATTTTTATCAGTACAGCGTTTTTTGTGGAGTGCTGGATTTTAAAGTTTTCGTCATGAATCGACCTCAGCCATAATAAATTGAAATTTCTTAGTTTTTGGAGTTCAACCATGTCTGGTATGAGCCAGTTACCTACCAGTAACGTTGAAGGATTGTTAAACAATATCGCTAATTGATTGAAGTTAGAAATATCAGCCATTAGATGCCATCACCATGGTCGTAACTTTAAACTGTCGACACCAGACCAAAAGCTTCTAGATTATAAATGTACACTACTAAGGTGTGCCACTATGTAAAGAAACATATGTCTAATACCTTTAAACTTCAAACAGTTGTCTAATTAAATTCAGTTTGCGATAGAATCCATCGTATCCGTTTATTTCCCTTCTTAGTGAAATAAGACTTGAATAAACTTTCGTGTATCGCCCGCAAGTATATCCATAACTGAAAGTTTCTCGACAATGAAAATCTCTGTAATGATTTATCAGATAGTTTGAACCGTCTTGAAAGTGATAAAGGTATAATAATTACTCATGAGATCATGAAAGACGAAAATTATACTAATATATAGAGAAAACTGGTGGGCGGCTTATGCTCCATTGGGGGTAACAGGCGTAAGCAAGTAAGTAAGTAATATAGAAAACGGATATTACTGCGATTGAGAGATAAGGTATCAAGAGAATTGTTTAAAAACATATGAAAAAGGAACATTTCAAAATTTATGGAGTTTATTGGCATAATTTAAATAAAATAAAGGGGATATCTTGATCAGAAGTTGAATGACGTTTTGTTCTCTGTGAAATGTGAATATCAACGGTTCATTTCAGTGTACATTATTCTAGGATCACAAGATAAAATTAAATAAATGTCTAATACTTTATGGTTCTTATTCGTTGTTGAGGTCTTGACGAAACCGATCTATAAACGCTTCCGAGAACAATGAGGATACCGAGTTAATATGAAAAATGTGATATGTTAGGGCTATACATTTTGGATGACCTTGTCATACATACACTTATCAAAGCATTTTATATAAAAAATAACCAAAATTTACAAAATGTACTAATTATTATACTTAATACTGTCATGGAGTTTCGCTCTCTGAGCTGGATGATTTGGTTGTGGATCTTTCATTGTTTTTCTGAACAACATCATCAGCACAAACTTTAAGTAGAAGTGAAGTATCCGAATTTCTCCATGTATGACTCGCAGAATGTTCTGTTGACTTAGATCTTAGAAACTCTACCACAATCATCCACTTAAGCTATAAATTTTCTCAAAATACTGAATACCACACAAAATGTACAAAGTAAATTCAAAATAAGCGTATGAACTTGAATGGCATACAGTCTACAGAAATCACATTTTCTAAGGATTGCAAAGTTTGTTATATATAACCTGTCTTTCTGTCGACCGACCCATTTCTTCGAATCAATCAAACTGTAGTTTCAAGCCTCCAATTCAGAATCCACTTCTGAACTAATAAATACAGTTGTTCTTCGATTAAACTGCCAATTTGCAATTATATTGTCTAACATCTCTCTTTCAAACATCGAAACTAACAATCAACTAAAAATGATATATGTAGATGCTGAAATTCTAACATTAAAAGAGTTTTGTTAGCAAAGCTATTGAACGGAAAGTAAGTAAGTACTTTATTTATGTATGGATAGTGGGGAATTGTTCATGGTTCACTAAATGTCATATTGTTTTTGTTTTACATGATCACTATACATCATCATTTATGTTTCTTCATAGTGTCTTATATGCGAAGACCGGAAATATTATTTACTATATTGTCAATATTAATTATATCGATTCTTATCAATGTGGGATTCTGCATTCGATGTTTATTGTTTCGTTCATATATCGGTAAGTTATCAACTCTAATACAGAATTGTCAATTTTATATTTATCATGTTAATTTATTGTTCTCTGTAATTTTTCTTTAGAATTTACTTTTTAAGTATGATATTGAATTCAATGCATAGATTTCACATATCTTTAACAACAACATACTTCATTCATTGTTCATTTGGATTAGTTATTCGTTTCTGCCTTTGCAATCACCACCATATAGCCTCAAAACGAAAAAAAGGAAACGAGAACCTAGTGATTAAGGTATAAATTGGGTTAAGTCGAGGTTTTTTTCTTGAATCATGAAGCTTTACTTACTTCAGTTGATGAACAGTTCTTTCCTATGAGCACAATTTAGTACTATGTTCGATAGCAATTAATTTTTACATAATTTGTGGAAATTAATCAAACTAGTCAAAAAAAATCAATAATTGTACTAAATACCTTTGAAATGGACAGGACATATAGTTTATTTTTGTATCCATAAAACCGACCAATACGCAGACGATTTTTGAGTAACAGATATGCAACAAAATTGGTGACTTGCTACTCCATCCTTGAAGGACGATACAACACTAACTTGCCTCAGCCGAATAGGAAGAACAAAGACCAATGACCAGAAGTTCAAAAATTCGTTACTATATTCAAGGCATTAGTTTTTATATGCGTGTAAAACCAGACCACATTGCACCAATAAATGGAAATTAACAACTACGCATGAATGAGCCAGAAGTGGCGATGAGTAGGGAAGATTGCAAATAATAAAATATCAACAAAGTAGGAAAATTAAATCGCTTGATAATAATTTAGAAGTCAATAGAAAGTTTATGATAAAAGTAATATAAACATTCACCTGATAGCCTAGTTAACTAATAATTATACAATTAGATTATATTCATCAACAATCGATAAACTGGTTTCCTTACTTCAATTTTCATCTGGATATCAAGATGTATTACTAATACTTAAATCACCTTTTATATATATCACTAAATTGAAAGCCAATGTATTTGTCTGTATTTGTATACACAGAGATAAGAACTGTAATAATAGAGAAATCTCAGTTACAATATGATTTGAGCTAGTAGGCGTCGAATTATCCGTATGGCTTTCTGTTGACTGAGCTATGAAACCGGACTATTATTTAGGTCTTCATTCTATTCTAACTGCCAAGTAGATTGTTTTAGTTAATACTATTTTGCTTTTCTCATTTTTCCGTACTTCAGATGCATCACAAGAAGGGTCAAGTAACACAAGTTGTCTAGCTGCTTGTCTCTGTTTGCCTAATGAACTGAGAAAAGGTTCACTAATTATGACGACACCAATTTTACCTCGAGCCACTACGACTCCTAATATGAACCATATGAGAATAAATGGCTCAGATCATGGAGTGCTTAATTCGTCATACAGTTTATCTGCCATACAAAAAATGCCCTTACTCTACAATGGTGCATCATATAAGGAAAATTTACCTGCAAACTACATTCCAACAAATTCCTTACCAGGTACTTTCAGAAAGTGTGGAATGCAGAACCTGAGAAACAACAGCATACCACAACAACAGTATGGTGGATTAATGCAACCTCAAACTTTAGAAATGGAGAATACCAATCTAACAACATTTCCTATAATTGATGACACAAATAAGTTTATCAATTTCACACCAACATACATTCGAGCTCCATCACTTAACACTCCTTCACCAAATCTTAATCGTGATGTGGTGAATAATTATGGATATTCACCACAGACTGCTGTACGTCATTTTGGACAAGGTGAAATGCATTCATTTCCACAGTATTTAATACGAATGCAGCATCCGCATGTTATATACGACGATGTTGCCGCAGGAACATCAAGTATTGTGGGGTCATTGAGTCATAGTCCAAATGGTAGCATTATGGACACTACTGGTTTGCAGACTCATTTGGCTCAACTTCAAAACATCAACGTAGCTAGACAAAGTAATACAATACAGCCAACCAATTCAAGTTTCACTAATCTCATAAATATATCTCCGGATTCTAATGTTCAGGGTAATTATATATCACTTCAACCCACAATAAGCCATAAATCATCAGATGAAAAGATTACCAATTCGATTACTTCACCAATCCCAGTATTAGTATCTACATCGACTTCACTTTCTAACTCAGGTCGAATTCCCTCAAATACGTCTGCTATCCCAAGTATTTCATTGTCAACAGCCGGAAGTTGTGCTGATTCTGAACAGACGGTACATAATTCAAATATAAATCCACCTTCAACGTCTTCTCCGTCAGTCAGCTGACTGATAACAAATACGACAGACAACTGATTCTTGTTCATTTGGATTTAACAATGATTGACAAGTAAATAAGAAATAATCATTAGTCTACAGTGATCTTAACAAAAAGAGACCTTTTTGCATTATACGAATCCACATATCAAAGAATCTGATATATGTACCATACATACGTTCAATGTTTGCATAAGATTATTGTTATTGAAATGAGAATATGCGATAGTTGTTATTACTTTTGTGTAATCACGTTTTATCGAAAACATATTAAAAGTTGACTTTAGAAGCTTGCTTATAGACACTATTGTGCATACACCAATGATCTATCTTTAAAAAATGGAAATGAAAGACGTTAGTCTCTTTCCTCTTACTTAAACTAGTATCATTCAGCATTATACATGTAGGTACACTATGATTTTTCAATAGAAAAAATAAATGACTTCCAGGGATTGGTCCAGTGTAACTGTTGGGCTGAAGGTTCAAAATCTGCCACCTATACTTCACAAACGGGTATGAATATGAACAAGGGTAATATACAAGTTTAGTAAAAGGCTTATTGAAGGGATTTGGAATGCATCATCGTGTTAGTATATATGTAATGCTTCATGGATAATACAGGTGACATATTTACAAACGTTTTAGAGTCAAATCAATACTTAGAACTAATGTAGGAGTGTAAACAGGTAATGTACTAAATGAATTCATTGATATATACGCCCTTAAATGCAATATAATAGCCAATAATTTTAAGGCTTCCTCCGTAATAAAATTCTATGGATTAACTTTTATTAGATAGGTTCTCAATGCCCAAAGTATCTATGAGCCTTACTCTAACTTCAAAATGTTTAGCTGACAAAAAATCGTGAGATGAAATATAGCTAACGACTGATTCTACGAGCTGATCGCATGTGCATTTTTACTGTTTTGTGAACATGAAATTCCATTTAAAGTATTCAGTGAATGTAAACATGACAATCCATTTTTTTACTTTAAAACACACAAATGAGAACCTGACCAGTTTCACTGATGCGATATGACTAAGCTCAGTAGTAAACTGAAGAAGCCTATCAGAAATATTTTTGACATTCAAGAAATGACCAGTTTATGAAAAATGTTAAAAACTTTGAGAATAAGACGGATATGCACAATTAAGCTATTGCACAAATATCTCTTAGTCTTCTAGTTAGTTCAAACAATGCTTGAATTTGCTGGAGATTTTTGATTTATTTAGATGACATTTACACACTGGTTTCGGAGAATATCTGTATCCTAACGGATGCTATGAGTCATAAAAGATCTTTTGCACATAAATGGAATCTACTAATGAGTAGTCAAACTAAATAAGTATAACATTTTCGTAAATCAGTCTTTATTGATAAAATCCTGTTCTAGTGATTATATATACCTGTAATATAACTTTCTATATATTTGATGAGTGAGCAACAAAATCTCACTTAGGACGAGGTTTAATCATCCTGTACAGGTATTTTCGATTTACTGACAGGACCCGAGTAAGGTATTTGTACACTAGTACATTCGCAAAAAGTTTACCTTCCACTCTTTTTCCGAATGAGATTTCAATAAAATAATCTCATTTTTGTGATAAATGTTTCCTCGGAAGGCAGTCAAACCGGTTGTCGTTTAGCAAAGCAAATTATACAAAATATGAAGGAAAAATTGACCCACAATATGTTCTGGTTTAAGTAATGGATCCATCTACTACCATTTCATTAAATGACTGAACAAGAACAACGAGTTAGGAGTTGATATATTGATTTAAAAACACAACTACATATGCATAAAAGTCTACCTTGAAATTGTTGACTTGTGAATTACACCCAAAAGGTTGATCACATCCAAAGAATCATAGCGCGAAGCACACTAAGTAAGGTGTCAGCATAGTCTTCACTAACTAATACTGATCATTACTAGAATAAACGAAGTAGTTTTATTTCTTTATTTTTTTTCAACACTGATATTAACTTTTGCAAGAAAACTATCTTGAAAATTATTGGATTAATAAGAATTTAACGACAATGATTTTGACTAAATAGACCATAGATTACTAATAATAATACACTGTACAAAATATATATTGTTTTTTTAAGAATAAAAAAACAATACAATTACTAATGATTCAGTACAATGATTAAACATATCGAAATATCACATCTTTTTTAGATGTTATTAATTGTATTTCCAACTTCACAATACATCGAAGTATAATAGAAAGCATTTCTTCTGTATAACCAATTAGGAAATTAATTTCACCTGGAGATGCTCGTTTTAATAAGAGAAAAGCTACACGTATTACGTTACATTGTCGTTTGATAATAACCTATTGATTTTAAAAATAAAACAATAAATATCGTTGAAAATGAGTGTGATTTATATAGAAAAATAATGTCTACAAAATTCTACAAATTTGTTGATAAAATAAAGAAACATTTTCCAGCATTACAATGAACTGAAAAGATGTCGCGCGAAATCCCTAGATCAATCAGGGTTAGACATTACCACCGTTGGATTCCGGCCCAGTGGTCCAGAGGTTAGGCGTTTGCGCACAATACCGAAGATCCCGGGTTCGAATCCTGCGGGGCGCACGAGTCGTGCGTGCGCACCGCTGATGAGTCCCATACCAGGACGAAACGGCCATCCAGTGATTCCAGGTTTCTAATGGTGATCTAACAATGATTGGTTGATGATTTCAAATGTGTGAAAAGATGGACCACATAACTTAGTACAATTTTACTATAGAAGAATTAGAGAGACAAACAAACGTTATACTATCCATAAACAATCAATAAAGTTGATTTTACTGTTGAGAAGAATTCAACAAGAATTACAGAAATATATGCACTGGATTTTAGTTTAATTTATGTCAGAAAACAATTAAAGCTGTTAATTCGCATGATCTTTAAGAACCTAATCTAGATGTTGCAATGGACTGGCGATTTACAAAAGTTCACAAAAGTTCTTCACCTATTGTAAACATCAATTATCTCGAGTAATAAACTAAATTAAACAAGTGAATTTATGTCAATAAAATGGAATATTCTCTTTTGTAGCATGCTATCAAACAAAGTTAAGAATAAGAAGTTGTATTACTATTCGATAGAAACAAGAACAAATCTGTTGGATGCACATTGAAAATAAAATAGATCTGACTGGTCAAAAAATATATACAAAAATTATCAAACAACAAGTAATAGCATAGATCGATTATTTATGGGACTAATGTGAAAGAGTTACATACTGAAATTTCTAAATGCTCTACAATTATGATATTCACAATATTTCAGTATCATCTAATGATCTCGACAACAAATGAACCTGATAAACAAACAGACAGACAATGTTCTGGAGAGATTTACTACACAAAACTTCCAGACAAAAAAAATTTGCCAGTTTTATTGGTCACGTTTTATGACAGTTAAAACGGTGGGGGCTGTTATGCACTATATTCTTCCCCCCTTTGCCGTTTGATAAGAACAATAACTTTATTTGCTCTATAAATTACGTGAGTTGGAAGATCCCAAACAGAGTTTTTGTATGCATACCGCAACGCCATTAGTCATTGACTCTAAAAACGATAGGATTCTATAAATAATTGTTCCCTTACATAGAATCAAACAGGGTGATGATGCGAATCAGAACTGAACCACTCAAGGGATCCAAAAGAGTTTGAATTTTATCAAAATGGTCAATAAACAGGTAAATGGGGATGTGTTAAACCGGAAATGTTAAGATGAGAACCTGATTATCGGTAACTACATCTTATTATAAGGTTTGTGATTATCAAATATGAGGTACGTAGACTGTGACCCACAAATGTACAACATAAATTAGCAGAAAGGATGTATAAAGATGAATATTGAATGCTACAGTCAGTTTTTGAATTACTTACCCTAAAACTGGTCACTAAACCGTAGCATTAGTAATATAAAAACTCACCAGGATAAAGCAATTATCGATCATTACATTCTATATTTTGAATTTTTGCAATTTAAACCAAAATGTTATTGCTTCTTAAAGTTGGATAACAACACTTCGTCGTTTTCATACAGACAATGGTTTGGTCGTAAAGAGAATCGTTGTCTAACCATAGTTTGGTGGATATAATCACTCATAGATTTGGGGGGGGGGGTTAGTCAATTTAAAGATAATTTTTACCACCGACTAAAATCATCTTAATAATCTGTAAGAACGAGAGATTGTTCAACAGCTGTTACATTTCATGTCGGGACTCAAATGATGCGTATTGTTAACTTCATATAGGATGGTACCTATGGTCATCATGACCTACAGCGAGGAAGATAGCATTGATCGACTAAGACACAATTACTTGTTATCCCGCATAAATGACCTACTGAGAAATGGATGTTCTAAACTTATAATGGGAAGTTGTGACCTTTGAAGGTGGTTAGTCAAAAAATGAAGATGGGTGTCAGCCAATGACTTTAAATAGTAGTAGAGCTGTATGATAAAGCAAATGAAGTTAAAAACGTAGATCGGTGGATTTGGATTCGGTGACTGAATCCCAATGTACTACCACAAGGACTAATAGTCTTGAGTTGCGTCTTGTATACAGACGAGAGTACGAACCAACAGAACTATGAGCTATAAAAGAACTGTCAAATGATTTTCTAATTGGATTCCTTTAAATCCCAGTTTCTTTTTAAATTTGTTTCACTGGATTATACTTCGGGAATGATATCTTCGATCCCTTATCCTCTCCATTACTACTCATACTTCTACGACTTCTACTACTTTGAAATTTGAAATGACAATTTGACCCCTCTGTGCTAATGTGGTACGGCAGCTTAAACTGATGAACGTATGCATCAAGTTCGACGTTGTAACTGACTGACTGACTAACTGAAATCCTAGTCTCAGAAGGAAAGTACTTTCAAATTTTGAACTTCTATGAGCTATCTCGGTAAAGTTATGCTTCGAAACCACAGTTTACATCAATAAAAGAGTGCAAAATAGAGACACTAAACTAGTGCGTATTTCAATAAACATACTTCGCTTTGAACCATTAAAGGAAAAGTCCCATTAATAAATGTCCGGATAAATTGATCATGAAGGGTAACTTCTGAAGTGTAACGGTCTTCTCCATCCAAATTTGAAGTATTCCAAGAGTTCCAAGACTTCATCAAACCAATCTGGTGTGGCTTTTTCGTCTGCTCATAAGTGAGAGGGTGGGAGCAATCTCTAGTTCGACGAACCACTCCGACACGACTGTTCTTAAAAACCGTGCTTCCTGTATGTAATTTTTGATTGATAATGTATGTATCAGATATCACACGTTCACAATTACGTAATCTCGCAAACATTACAAAGTAAAAACTTGAAACCAAAATAAATCAGGTGGAATAGAGAAGGATGATTAGGAAGATATCCAAAAAGTGTGCTCGAATGATCGACCTAAAGTTTAGTATTGACGATTGGGTAGTCTACAAGGTTATCTGAAAGGAGAAGTATATGACTTGTTAAAAAGGTCAGAATCCATTATATTTATTGCGTAGTTTATCGAAAGTAATGAATACATTTTAAAATGATACACATAATCGTAAAACATGGTCAAATGTGTAGTTTAGATACAACTTTTCAGACCTTCCGACCGTACCTGCTACCTTGACGCGGTGGTTGGGTTTGCCTATTGTGCTCTCCCAACAGAGCTAATATTGGCTGGATAATATGTTCCATTAGGTCCTACCATACGAGGCAGGTCGACTGGAGAACAATAAGAATAAAAGCAGTAACTTCAGTTCTGCTGACTGTAAAAAGGTGTGACATTAGTAAAACATGCCCCTTGGACAACCAATATTTGCAGCTATGCTCCCTTCTCACAACAGAAAGAAGAGGTTAGGAAAGGTCGACCTTAAAAATGTCACGCCTCACCTTACTCCACGGATTTTCGTCTTCGGCGGCACGGCCTTTTGAAGAGCGGGGCTAAGGCCTCCAAACGTTTCCATAAAAAGGATGTACGTGGCCGGCTTCAAGCAGTTGTCCCTTGGGCTCTGCGGTCACGCTCTCAGGTTGCTAAGACCAAAGCTAATCTTTCTTCCTTTTCAGGTTCCTCAGGAGACATCCTTCCACGATGTGGGCGGCCGGGAAGTGATATCTGTCCTCATACCCGTAACAGCACATGAGATCAACTTGGTCACAATCAAATCCTTTCTACACCTCTTAATAACTCGCTAATCTTTACGACTAACCCTTTTCACATTCTCTTATCACCTTGCGCTACTGATGCTAATGATTCGAGCACACAGAACAATATTCCTAGTCTCCTGAAAACCCACCCTAAACTATATGTTGGAGCTTGTAGTGTCCGGACGTTGAGTAGCGAAAGCAAGGGAAATGGAAAAGTCAACGGCGATAGGTAACAGTAGACTGCTATTCAAACTCATCAAGGAAACCGGTATAAGGAATCCGAATTTAAGTGAAACTATCTCGGAAAAGGATGGTTTTATTATTCATTCCCAATCTAGGATATTGGATCGATGGGCAGAGATCATTTCAACTAACCTTCAACCACAATCCGGTTATCCTCGATCTCCAGTCATCCTGAATGGCAACTTAGTGTAAGTCCTGCAACTCTTATTGAAGCTGAAAAGGCTATGCAAATCTGAAGCGAGGGAGAGCAGCGGGTCTTGATAGGTTGACCGCTGAGATTTTTAATAATGGTGGTCTAGTTTTAGCAGCTAGATTGACTGAGATCTTAGGTAGAATTTTGGAACTGGTCTCAATCCCTGATTGTCCCAGTCTATAAGAAAGGACAAAAGTCCTCTTCTGAGAATCACAGAGGAATCAGTTAAACTAACTTAGTTTCTAAAATATAGACCTCATTATTACTCCGACGCCTACCTACAGCTCGTGAAGAGCAGACTAGAGAAAACCAGGCTGGTTCCAGACCTGGATGTGGATTTATAGACCAGATATTTACTCTAAGTCAGGTCCTAGAACATAGACACCCGTTCACATGTCCCATAATAGTAGTATTTTTAGACCTTAAGGCGGCATCTGACTCTGTCGATCTTGAGGTTCTGTGGCAGTACCTGACGTTGAAAGGTGTACCAGAGAAGTAAATTAACCTCCTACCAGCTCTCTACTCGAACACTACTGGTCGAGTGAGAGCTTATGGCGAACTGTCACCAGAAGCCTATTTGGTAGAGACGTTGACAAAATGCAGAGTCTTCTGACCAGCTTCAACAACAATGCAAGCATGTATGGTATGTATGGAGTAGGCTGCGGGCAGTCAAACCAAAAGACGGCACAAATCCACTAAGTCATTGGTAAATGGACTGAGCCATATTAGTAAATATAGAGTACATGATTAGGGTCCATGAGACAATAGTAACCGATGGTTAGAGACTTTGAATAATATGGCTCAAAATTGCTTGCAAGGATGCAGATGCATCCATTATTTGTTTTCTCTCAAATTCCAGTCTTCTGAATTCCTTTAGTCCGATTTTTTTTAATTTACTGGACGACATAATCATCATCATTATCATCAACAGCAACGTAGAACTTTGCACGTGAGTACAGCAGTTCAAGTTGCCATACCATATTAGCACAGAGATAAAATTGTCAATTCAAGTCCCATAGAAGTATGGGGTAGTAAAGGTATTAGAAGTAATCGGAGAGATTAGGGTTTAATGTTATTCAAGTATAATTCAGTGAGGTAAATTTAGAAAGAGGAAGATACAGGTGGTGAATTCAGAAGGTTAGAATTTCACAGAACACAAAGAGTGGATGCACCTGCACCAATCCAAACGGTTTCGAGCCATATGGTCCAAGGTCTCTAACCATCGATTACTATCATCTCACGGATCCCAACCAGGTAGTCAATAAATACCAACATGATTTAGTCCACCTGTCAGTGACTTCATTAATTTCTGTCATGTTTTGGCTTGACCTCCCCTAGCTTCCTTCCAACCTACCCCTACATCGCAAAACATAGCTTGACGAGGCAGTAGGTGGTTGGACATTCGTAACAAATGTCCCAACCACTTACACTGATGAATTTTTAATACTTCATCTATTGACCTGTCATCCTCAACTAGTACTGGTTAACTAACAACAGCATTGCTTTCTTCCCATGATACACGAGCAATGCTTCGGAGATACCGATGATCGAAAACCAGTAAACTACGAATTTCTTGTACTCTTACCGGCCATGTTTCGCAGCCATAAAGCAGGACGGAGCGAATTATTGCGCAGTAGACTCATCCTTTGGTTAGCAAACGGTTATTTCGCCTACGCCATAAGTGACGCAACTTAGCAAAAGCCAATCAAGTCTTTATAAGCTTGTTAGAGCGACAGCTAAATCAACAATTCCAAAGTGGAATATTTTTGCAAGCCAAGACATGGTTTTAACACTTTATCTGCCATTCATCACGGAGTCAACTACTTGACAGTTTATCATGATTTTCGGAACAAAAGATAGAACCCAAATATTTTCAAAAAAACCAAGTGTCTTTCTAAAGACTGTCAACATATATTTCGTACTGAACACTCGAAAAAACATGATTGGATTATTTTATTAATAGGCCGTTTTAAAAGTATATGTATATTGCATGACTGAACGATTAAACTGTCATTTCTAGCCGTCCACATACTTAGCTTCTACCAAAACGATTTCGATACATTTCGAACACCATACGGTTGTTTCAAATAAAAACAACACTCTTCCCAATGATTAGGTCATACCAGAAAATTTTAAAGGGAATAATGAGTCTTCAACCTCTAGAAAGTTCGCGTTTAGCTAAATAGTATACTGTCGAGGGAGTGTGAGAAACAGTATCTGAGGTTATCTGGAGGAAATAACAAAGGAAAAATTGGTTCAACAACACAGTGAGCACATAGTGTGCACTTACTTTTAATTAGTAAAGCGATCGAAAACAATCGAAAATAACGCAAACATGAGAATAAGACAAACCGATAACCGAAAACAGAAGTTGACAGCGTACAGCTTCAAATTAGGTACAAGGACACCAATATCCAATATCTTTTTCACGAGCTAGTGTAAACCAATTTGATTTCTTCGAGCTCGATTCTTGTTCTTTCTGTACGGTTCCAGGTGTTCAGTCGTGTCCAATGAATGGAGGTTTAGCCACTCGACTGTCTAATTCTAGTCAGTTGGCAGTTGTTTGTGAGTTTGTATGTCCCGTGATTTGAATGAATATGTTTGTTTCAGGGCAGTAGGGTTTCTGGATACTAGCAGCTATCACATTACCAAGCCGAAGATCAGTTAGTTACAATGTGGAAAATGATAGGGAGAAAAATTCTAACGCTTATAAGAATACGGTTTCAGAACTTCGTAAACAAATGCATAGTTTAGTTTATTAATGGGTATTGAATATAGTGAGCGATGGCCGAATTGAAAACAAGGTAGAGGAAACAGAGACAATAGGCGACATAAATTTGGTTATTGATCTGAGGAGATGGAAATAATAACGATTAGCAAGTCTCAACGTACTCACCAGGTACCGTTTGTCCGCGAGGGTGATAATAATCCGTGTGAGTTTGTGTTCATCAATTCTCACCGGAAAGCTGTTCACTGAAAGTACTGTGGCCACCTCGACTTGGAGAGCGTTTGAGAAAATTTTGCAATAACCTGAATGTTGGCTGTTCGATGAGATATTTTTCGAGGATCAGATCGAGGAACATGGAGGTTAGGCTTCGCTCAGATGCTCACGTTTGGATGGTTTGGCGTGCTTAATGTGATTACTTAAGAGATTTAAAGTAGAAGGAGTGCGACTACATAGTAAACCTCAAGGTATCGATGTGCGTTTTTCATAAAAAACGTTTTGAATAATTTTGGGTTGATAGCATCAAGTTTTTTATGCATAAAGCGAAGATTTGAGTTAGTTTTGGCTGCATCCCCATATAGTTGGAGCTGATATCGTGGATCTCTGTGGTTATTAAACCGAAATTTCGCTTTGAGGAGAAACTGTGGAGTGGGCTTCCGATGAGGGTATAAGTCATTCGCGTCACGGGGGGAAGAATTTGTATAACATGAAGCAGAATGTCTAACTGTGGCATGCTCAGAGAAGCTTGGATGAGCACTACTTGCCCTTCCGAAACCAGTGTTGAGCTTCATGGAGTATTTTTCGTTAGATTCTACCTTTACTACTCAATATACTAAGTTTTCGAAAGGAATCTCGGTAAATTACCTGGTTACATACTGACTGCTGCATTTAGCCTGCCTTATGATCTAGAGTAGTACCTAATCTATTTACTCATGTCATTTGATTCGCGATGGTGGTGATATAAGTAAATCCCCAAAAATACTTAGCTAATTATATCTGCTAGATTGATGACCGCTTACTTATTCTAATCAACGCACCTTTCTTGAAGGTGCTCGATCAAGAATCATTACCAAATCAAGTTTGGGCAGTGCCCATTTCCAACTAGTCAGGTCAGATACTGTTCAGTACAGTCAGTCAATAATGATCAAAATAAATTTTTGTATCCCATAATCCGTGGTTTTTGGTTTCGACTCTCTCAGTTGATTAATGGTGACATTATCGTCGATTCTAGGACTGTCGGTGTCGAACAGTTCTTACTCACATTGCACAGACTCAGTGAATCCTCCAAAATCATTCGAAATGCAGTATGGCCTGGGGAAGACTGAGTTAAGAGGAGAGACGACTGAGTCTGTACTCTGTGTCCTGTTGACAGCTGAAAGTGAGACAAATTTGACCCATCTTACTAACGTCCAGTTGGTGGTAGACGGTAGAAAAAATTCGCATTGCACATGGAGGCAGAGTTTGAGAGTCAGATAATAGAGAACCGAACTAAGGTTTACAGTATATTGTGTAAGTCTGGTTCTTGATCGTTTCACTACTGATGCTTGTTTCCGAGCCACCAGCAATTAGGTAGTGTTTGGCTAAACACAAGGTGACGGCATGGTTCCTCAAATGATTGTCGACCTTACACCACCAGCTGGAAACGGCTGCTTGAATTATTGTAGGTGAACATTTTGTTCCATCCTGGAAGACTTGTTGATTTTCTGGTACCGAACATTTACCTGATAACCATTCCTTTTTCTATTTACTACTCCAATTTGTGCGAGAGAAACATACGGCTGTTTAGAACCACAGGCTGCAAGTGTTGGGGTAATGTAATTTCGATATAATTTGTTTCATTTCCTAAGTTTGGACCATTTCAATTGAGCACATAAGTCATGTTTTGATATAATTTAAAACAAGTAACTCGAAAAAGCCTCGTTTACCATACCAAAAAAAGGAGATTGACATAACAAAATAAACTTTGGTCCTTTAGTTGTACGTTGACATCTGCTATGGATTACTTCTACGAAGAAAACGTAACTGATGAAATGGAACCATTTATTATTGTACTTAACTATGATACTAATTGTTCTATTGTACTCCTTTTTTTAACTGTACTTAAATCCATTATTCGACCGCACGACGTGCTACCAACACTGATCGGTGTCACTAGTGGATTTATCTGCCTTTAAATCACTTGTCTTGATATTTTTTCGACATTTCGAGACCAGCAATGAATACAACTCATTCTCCAATCACATCCTGTCTTTTGATATTTGGCCACAACGGGATTTAACTTAATTATCTCGCGATCAGTAGTCTCAATTCGCTACACATTCACAAAATGTAATATTACTTTCAAAATGAAATCGGTCGATTAAATGACTTGTATTTTTCGAAACATGAAGTATTGTTCATGCATGACTGCTATCTGGATCATTACAGTATCTGTATCGGCTTCCACTGTCCTTGAAAACCTGTGACCTGATAACTCAATGATTAACGCGAATCCATTGCAAACTGCAAACAGAGTGGTTTCATATGCTTCAACACAAGCAACGATGCAGACCAGAGTCACTGATATAAATCCACTTTTTAAGTTGTTAGGTTATCTTCGTTTTTTCGCAGTTCGTTTGTCGAACTAATTTACATTACACACAGTTTTTCATCTTGAAAGAAAATCTTGTCTTCTAATCCCTATTTGCAGTCTGAAACCTTTACTGATTATGGCAACGATCATAAGTTGTATAACTTATAATATATGACTATTAACCTCGTACAAAAAAACCACTACTGCTTTATTATGTGGTCATGCATCTTTACTTGTACTTGGCCTGTTAGCTAAAGTTATCACTGAAATGCCAAATTAAAACTGCCAGTGAATTTGACTGGCTGTTTGTTCTCAGTCAACGAATGTACGATGGTCAACATCATTCGATACTACTCTTGTCATATTGTCTGAGTAATATCATTGCTCTTAACAAAACATTATACTGCTTATCTGAGAAACTGTCGACTGCTTTTCAGTGTTACCTATTTATCATAACGTTGTTTACGTTAGAATTTTTTTATTGTCACTGTAAGCCGATTTGCATTCCAACAACATTTACGTCGTATCTAAGCACATCGTCAAATCCCGAATTTGAAACTTTATCATTATTCGTTATTGCCTGACTAGTCTTTTCTTTATAAAATTGATACGAGGAAGATCTTGTTGGGTTTTCTGGTTTTTCCGGTGTGGGATTATCCCTTATGACTTTGGAGCCAATTCAAACGGCCATTGAAGGAAGACTAAAATTTCAAAGAAGAACAAACAAAACATTCATCATGCCAAGTCACCACATTAGACTACAGATCACTGATCTGTGGACGGATTATGGAACAGTTTAGGTCAAGAAGGCCTAATTAATCAGTTGCACACAGTTGAGCCACTTAGTACCAGTGAATCTTGTTCTAGCATAATCGGGTAATTACATTTTTAAGTAATATTATTTTCTTTTTACATTCATCAAAATAATCAGAGCTTCTAGATACCATGAAAAAATGATGTTAGGTGATAACCACGAGATATAAATTTTGATGTAAACTACGATTTCACAACATTCCCCTCCAACTGAAGCGAGCCGATCATCCAAATCGATCACCCTTATTGGTAATCTACAGGTGTGACCTTTATTAGACTCAACTTTTAAGAAAGCAAGGACCTGTTTTCTACAGTTTCAAAGAACATCATCTTATGATATTCTCCATCTAAACCCAGATTTTCTCTAGGTTATCCCTAATAACTTAGTGCCTGTGCCCTACGACCTTATCATCCTTTTCTACGTCTCTCTAGTGCTATGTATTACTATAAATGTCATCAGAACCACTAGTCTAGTATTCCTAGTTCAAATAAGGTAGAGAAGGATGTTTTCGACCACGACTTTCAACCGTACATGATCTTGATGATCAACAAGCTTCTAACCGTGTGAATCGCTTTTGAGCAGACATCACGCAGCTTCTTGAAGGTGGATTTTACAGGTTCGTCCTTTCCTTTCTCTTTAAACTCCTGCCAATTGTAGAGAACGTCGTGTTCCAAATGTTGATATAACATGAATAGCTATTTCAAAGTTTTTGACCTTTTCAATATTAACCACTATAGGTTCAATGTACTTTGTATTATAATTTCCTTTTGCAACATAAAACTCCTTACTTTCATGCTTATCTGAACAAATGTTGACGAGTAACCTGAATCTTGTGTTAGTCACGTCCGTCTGCCTTTTCACGAACTTCACAAGATTGTTAAATAATGACTTCCAACACGTTTTAACCAGTGTCTTCCAGACTAGCCAGCTTAGCAACAGACCTCTGTCTATTTCACTTAACAGACCACACCACCAATATTCCTGCCGTCTTCTCGATTAACAGACTATTGAGTGTGTTTTGTTTAGGTACAGTACCTTAATCGCTTGTACCAACATATTAATATTCCGTCGCATCAATCTCACGGCGATAGCGTTTGCCCCAGATACTAAACTTCAGTAAATATGAGCCAATATAACTGATTACAGTAACTTTATCTGACGGCTTTCCTACACCTTGCCCACATCTCAGTATCCGACATTTTCACTTTTGATAACAAATGGTGTCCTTTGTGTTACATTCTTCGAATTCATCGACTCATTTAGAACTTTCACCATAACTTCCGTTATTAAAAATATGTCAGTCTATTATTTTAGGCAGCATTCCGCGTAGACAAAGGCTTCTTCGGTGCTATTGAGCAAACTCCATACATAGAATTTGCTTTATTGAATAAATCTTTTTCTGTTTGCCTTGTTCAAAACTGCTAAAGGAACCAAGTACATGAAATTGCTGATCATCTCTTATCATTCAACGGCTCAGTTTTAGAATATGAGAAGCTATGGTCAAATTACCGGAATCTTCTTTCGAAGTCACCATGATCAAACAAATGCACTCGATAAAAGTACAAATAAGGAAGACAAACACCACATAAACTCTAAAAGTTAACTTGTTCCAGCTGAAGCCCTGCGCACATAAGTACATATCTAATACTCTGTCTTAATTACTAACCCCGAAATTCATACTTCTACTAGTTTTCCCAGCTTTTATAGTGTAAGTACTGTTGGTGACGCCATTATAGTGTTGCTGGATAGACTGATATCATTGGTGAAATTCAACTAAGACTGAAAAAAAATAAAAGCGACTAGCTCTCATCAATAAACTATCCTCATCTTATAATCTTCCTTTAGCCTTGCAATTGTTACATAGCCTACTTTTGAAATCCTATGTTTCCGATTTCATCTTCGGTTAGTTTTTGATAGACTCCTACAGATGTTAAATAAATATAAAAACAACTAAGCAACCTCGTAAATGATATTGTGAAAAAAATTTCTGCATGAAGTCTTCTTACGAAAAACAAGGAATAAATTTGTCTGTGGATTTATTTGTTTTCAGATAGAAATATATAAATATTACCATAATAAAGAACGATAGTATTGATTCTAGTCTTCTTGCAGTAAAGCTTTCGATCGAAAATTACATAAGAAGCAACATATAACGGTATCTTCACAATAGGCTGACCGGCAGCATACAGGACACTTGACGAGCTAAATTTCAAAAGAATGAATAATAGTTAAATGTAATTTTTTCGATCAGAATTTCAAGCTATATACATATATTTTAAGACAGCAACTGAAATTTTAAATCATTGGATGTTTTTAGTGATGTTTTCACCCGGCTTTTGCTTTGCGACATGAGGAGCAATTCTACTAGTCCTAATGCCAAATGTCGGGTTTTTTGCTAACCATTCTTATGGCAGACTTAACAGAGATCTTGCTTCTATTCCTTATATTAGGTTCAAACATTAAAGTATAATAAAATTTGTGGGTTTGGATAAATCTTGTCACTCTATCGACATCAGGTTTTAATAAATGATATGTTTATAACTTAATAAACTTCACCTTTTTTATGTTTCTGGCATGCTTAGTTGATAGGTGAGCTATAGATTTCTTTCTGAAGTTTTATCCGGTGGCCATACATTGTATTTTAGTGAAAGAATAACTGTAACCAGTTCCTAAGTTTACAACGTTTGTAGGATGCAAGAAGGTTACTGTCAAACTTTATCAGAAATGCCATATCCATACATACATCATGATTACTTTCCTCCTTTTACTCGAAGTATGAAGGATAATCCATTTCATGAGTAGCGTTCCATATTGTTCTTTCTGATCATCCACGTATTTAGGGCATTTCTTCTCAACGTTGATTGTTTTACAGTCAATAGAAGTACAGAAAAGCATGTTAGAGACATATTATGATTAATGAAACTGGTAACAGTTAAGTCCATTCACCGAGCTATATCACAATAATTGGACAGCTTAAAACATATACAAAATATTTTACCTAAACATAAAGTATTTTACTTACTGGTACACTCGATTTCATTTGACCAGGTCGTCCAAGACATATCTGACATAGTATCAAGTCCGTAAAATCATGAGTCTAAAAACAGGTTATACATAAAAATTACTAACGAAACAAAATGAAAATAAATACTTTTTTTCATGATACATCGAGAGTTAGAAAAATTGATTCGTCAAACGAATGATGATTGTTAAAAACTATTGAAATTCTATATTAAGTAATACAAGCCATATAAAGCGAATTCCATGAATATATATATATATATATATATATATATATATATATATATATAAACGCTGAATGCTACTGGTGATTTTATTCCAAGTTCTAACTTTTGCTTTCTTTACTTTTTTCATCCGGCATGTTAGTATGCGCTACACTATCGTGTTCACAGACGGCACGTATGTATAGTTTTAAATGATTAGAGTGTATTGAAAATAAAATTTACATTCTTATATTCATCAGTAACACAGCAAATGAGGAAAAATGCTCGAAAATATTAGAAATCTCACAATATTGAACAGTGAAAAGGTTGATTATCCTCAAACATGATACTTCATTCATATATACTTGAAAAATATCGAGGTTACGCTACGTGAATTCATGAGAAAGTGAAGTCATTTAGGTTATTCATCTGCTTACTTGAATAGGGTAAAACCAAATAAAACATGTAATACACAAATTGTTCTACTCTTATCGATTATTTTGTGTACCCTTAAACATTTGTCTTTGTTGATTCCCATAGCCGTATTAACAGATTCTTGAACAATTAATTACGAGCACTTAGCTATGGACCATTTCACAACGGTTTTCCCTGTTTGTACTTGCCTGTCTGTGTGCGTCTATATATCTTATCAATTGTCTACTTTTCACCCATATAACTGAGTTAAGTTGAAAATAAACGATCTGGTAATTTTCATTAGCTTGAGTGCTTGTTTGCTTCTATTCAAGTACTAGAGACACATTCTTCCATCAAGTTTCATTCTTGTTTTTTAATACCACCATAGCATGTTGGTTTTTGCTGTAGTATTGTGTACGACATTAAATCAATCATTGTTTAAATTAAGTTAAACAAGGTCACAACAATGGAACAATTTGAATAGACTAGTCAACTCTGTATGGTTAAAATAATCTAGGTCGTATGTGTTCAGTAACTATTTACTAACAACAAAACTTATTATTATTATTATTATTCTGTATTGAAATTTTTGACATCCAACTATCAATTTCCCGGTCAGAATCTGAGGTATTACATCGATATATTTATATTATCCCTGATTATAGAGTCAGATATTGTTTCAATAAAGTTTCAGGTTTATAAACATGACGAAGTTAAGAAGATTTAAGTTACTGGCCACTACTAAATTATTCTTCCTGTCCTTCATTGATTAGACCTTGGAAGTTCAATTTCTTTCATAAACTAACAGAATAGATAAAACTCTATAAACACTAGAACATAATCACAAGGAAGTTATCTTAACTATTTTCGAACAAATACAGGCAATTTTAGTAGCGACTTGTGAAACAAAATTGAACACATAACAAAGCACTTTGTGACAGAGAAAATTGTACAGTAAATTACTTTGTATGCTTGAAGGACTAATTTTGAGGTTAATGGAAGCCTTGGCTATTTGTAAATTAAAAACCCCCTTATTTGTACAGAAACAGTTTCTTATAACCTTGAATTTACTCTGGTAATATTTAAACTATTTTATGGCCTACGGTAATGTGACGATTTCCTACCCTTTCTTATTCTCTCTATATTACATTAATTTTCTCTCTCCTTAATTTATAAGGTTTCCAATATGCAGTGGGATGAAAATCACTTTTATTTGAGAACATGTTAAAGTAACAAACCTGAAAGTTTCAAACCGTCAGAGTCTGAGATAATCAGGAGTGAATTTTCATTAACCATCCTGACTACATAAAATACAGCTGAATTCAGTAATACAGTATCGCAAAACCACTCCACAAAAGCTGAAATAATAAAAATCAACTATTCTGTTAAAACCCTCTCCAAGTAGGAAGACGAAGTTTCATCATCCTATATTATGTAAATGGTATCGCTAAATTAAAAACAATAAATCGACCTAGACTTAGCTCAACAGAGGATTTTAATCAATATTCCAGATCTCTTATACACTAGTGTTTAAAATGCTATTGAGCGACTAATATATTAAATAATCGACAATGTAAACTGTTCATCGATTACTCAGAAAGAATATAATAAAATAAGCATCTCCAATACTGTTAAAAAAAACAGACACATTAAATCACCATTCATGCTCATTATGCAAACTTACTTTACGTTGAGGGCAAATACCATTTAGGCAGGCATCAATAGAAGTTACTCTGCAACAGTTACACAAATCAACAACTGATAAACAACATGGGCAACAAGCAAAAGGTTGAAGCTGATTAATAGAGCGTTTAACACTTGGCGTACGATTCGCTAATATTGATTTTACAATTGCATAAATTATACCAATCAATAACAAATAACCAAATCCGCATAGAAGTAATAATAATGAGAATGGTATAGGTAAATTGTATACAAAATTTTGAAAAACTGTTGAACCCTTGTTACTGGCTAATTCAGCTTCAGCTACATCGGCTGGAACTTGAAAAACATCCAACTGTAAATAAATGAGAAAGAATTAATGCACAAGACCATAATGAATACATGAAGAGCACTATTTATTCCGTTTATTGTAAAGACAAATGCAAGTTACTGTTATTGATGGGTGTTGTAGAATATACTTCTACGCGTACCAAGTCTTCTGTTTTGCAGTTTGGGATTCAAGGTAGCCTACCTGGACGCTGGTAATTGTCTCGTTCGCGTTTATCGACTAAGCTGAACTCGTAATAGCTTCAAGAGTACCAAGTGACGAACATAACAAGATGTCAGAAACATAATCAGCAAGCCAGTAATTTTTGATGGTAACGACGTTTCAATGAAAACATTTATCTGTTTTGGGTCTTTATTAAGAGTGAGGGAGTTCTGATGAGTCAAAATAAAAACTGAATTGTTCAATGGACAAGTGAAGAAATTTTCTCATTTTTGAATCAAAAAAGAGCAACCATCATTTCAGAACAACGTGAATCGATTTATTTCTCTAATTCTCTTGATCAGGTTTCAACCTGGAAACAGTGGTATTAACCGACTGAAATGAAATATATATATATATATATATATATATATATATATATATATTTGTCAAAAAAGTCTTGAATAAAATTAAAGTTCGTATATAAACATAAAATAATGAGAAATAATAATAATAATCGAAGGATTGAAAATTGTTTAAATGTTTGCTTACTTATAGTTTAAATATTTAATACTCTAGAAGAGAAAATTGAGTCGAGTCTAGAAGCAGAAAAATTTCCCTCGAAATCTAAGATTTACGCCTTAGATTGTGAAATAATTAAAACAGACTAGCTGAGCATACATGAGAGGTAGATAGAAATGAACAAATTAAACAAAAACAACAAAAAACCCAGCCAACTTGAAATGTCTATACGCTACACATCAAGGACCAAGAGTGACAGCGATAGTAGAAGTATTAGCAGTAAGGAGTAAAGATATGATTTGAGAAGTATAATTCAGTAAGATAAATTTAGAAGGAGAAAGATAGAGATATGAGGAATTTAGAAGGTTAGAATTTAAGAGAACACAAAGAATGGATGCGCCTGAGCCATTGCAAATGATTTTGAGCCATGTCGTTCAAGGTCTCTAACCATTGGTGACTTTGGTCTTGCAGACCCCAACCAGGTAGCCCACATCTACCAGCGTGACTCAGTCCACTTGCCAGTGACTTCATGGATTTATGCCATGTTTTGGTCTGGCCGCCCCTAGATTTCGTCCAAGCTATATCGCAAAACATAGCTCGTTGCGGCAGTCGGTGGTTAGGCATCCGTAACACATGTCCCAACCACCTCAACTGATGAAGTTTCACTACTTCATCTACTGATATATATATATATATATATATATATATATATATATGTATATATATGTATTCTTTTTATTTAAAATCTTCCGATTGACTCACTAAGCAATTTTGTATGATTTATTATTCTTAATCTATCCGCCAGTTTATTATTTACAGTTTCCCCTATGTATAACCGCTTTTGGCTTGCACTTGTATAAATGTTTTTCCTCATTCTATGGTGTGATAATGTCTGGTATATTTTTTATCTAAAATATGTCTGCTTGAAATACAGCGAATTTTGTGGAGGCTGGCTTATGGACTTCTGGACTGAGAGGCAGGACAGCAAGAAAGAAGCCACCAAGTTGTGAACTATTAGGGATTTGGAGTTGGCTCAAGATTTCTGGTGCTAAACTGTTGGGGATGTTAGATCCCCAGAACTCGCTTGATAAATGCCTTATTTTGGACTTCACGTCGGCGAGCATGGGCTGATCAATCGACCCTGATATTTCAATTCCCACCAGGAAAATCCATGGCTGTGATTGGCTGCTGTGTATTTTAGTGTGCTATTTTCGTGACTGTCCCAAGGACGTTTCTATGATGTATAAATAAACGAGAGTTGTGTACTTGATTGTATTTGTGATTGCCGGGTGTTTGTAGAATATACTTTCTACGCTTACAAAGACTTCTGTAACAGCTTGGGATTCAAGGTAGCCTAGCTGGACGCTGGGTCATTGTCTCGTTCGCGCTTATCGACTAAGGTGAACTCGTAATAGCTTCAAGCATACCTGGTGACGAACATAACATAAACACAATTCTGCTGAGTATTTATACTTCTCGCATGATTAACGATGGTTAACGGTTAGGGATACAACAAATGCAAAACAAGAAAATCTATAATATTATGTAATAGCTTTCCGAACTGGTAATCAAATGTAATTGATTAGAATTTCTCAATGATTCATACATTTAGAAATCCTTAGTCAATATTACTTTTTAGAAAAATCAATCACACTAGCAGAGATCCTTCTGATAATCTAATTATCAAACCGATTTTTCAATTTAAGTTCAGATCCTAGTTTTGACAGTATGTTTCTTATATTCTTGTTCTCTTATTTTACTATGGAGACATTGATTTTAAAGGCTCTGAACTTATCACTAAAAGTTATTAGTATGCATTTCAATACCAAATATTTTTTAATCAGTGGAGAATCAAACCCGATTCTAATTTAGAAATAACGACAGAATTTAACAAACCATTAGAAAATATGTTTCTACGGATAGGTAATATAGACAGTAACAAACGAAAGCATTGCAAGAAATAGCACTGCTGAGCAATTTAAAATGATATACAACAAGTCTATAACAAAGCAGAAATCTAATTTTCTCTTTATTAGAACTTTGCAGATGCGCTAATTTCATTATTCATAAAATGCGCTCAATGTACAATTTATTCAAAATTATCAAGTCAAACTTTGTTAATGACACTTACAAACTCATTGATGATTAGGCTGTTTCATACAAATTATTTAGTCGCACTTTACGTGTATAAACTGAGGCATTCTCTAATTGTTTGTTCAGTCATAGATGGATTAGAACTTCCTAATGATTGAATAGTGAATTATGAAACCGAAAGAAGCAATCAATGGTGAAACACCAAGTAGAGACAAACACATTGAACTATTTAACTGGTGATGATTTTAAAATGCAATGAGTGAAAGGTCAGTGAATTGTGTAAACCACTGTTACCCGAAGAAAAATGCCTGCAAACTCATTTTTCTGAAAAACCCTAGTATCCTTGGGGTCTTTGGATTGATTTCTTTCAATAAATCTGTAAATTACTTGACTCCACTCTTCCATATCTTCTAGTATAACGCTGTACTACTTATACAGAGTAAGTAGTTTGTACCATATCCATTTTCAAAAGTTGCATATAATAATGGGAGATATTCTTTAGTTGTGACAATCCACTTATCCTGTAAAACACTAATTATGTGTTCAGTCTTTGAGTTAGTTCTTTTAGCTGCAGAAACATTTTACCTTCTCGACTTTATTGTGCATCTTACATTTTAAAAAATATATTCACCTTAAACCATTTGCTTATTTTCAAAATCATTTAATTAATTTTGCTAATTCCAAGTACCTACAATGACAGATGTTGCCTGTTATCTTATTAAGTGTACATTTTATGCCTTTACTCTGATTCAACTAGTCGAAAAATGTAATTTCCTGGTAATTTAGTTAGAAGTCTCCGGTATCAGGGCACTTTGTTTCTCGAACTGTATGAGATTTTCGTATTACTTTGGTTTATCATAACAGTAGCATATAGTAGGCAAATGTTGTTTTTGATTTAGATTTTTTATGCGTAATTAAGTTTTCAGGTTAATATTTTTGAGAAAATTCTGTAATTAGCTGTCTGCCATGATTATTGGAATGTGAAGTTAAAAACGGTAATTGTCTGATAATTTACTACTAATAAATTCAAATAAGAGAGGTTTCTTATCTCACCAGATAGAATGAAGATTGATCATCACATCCAAATGACTTTAAGCGTTTTTTCTGTTGAAAACTAAAAGTATCACCAAATGTATTCTGATACAAACATAACTAAACCTCAGTTAAAAGACTTTCATTTTTGTACCATTTTCTAAAATGACTGTACTTGAATAGACAGTAAAACTGTGAATCTTAAACACACCATCTATTTTTCAATGTGTTTACATGTGTAGTTTTATCATATGAGAATATTTTATTGGGATATCGGTGATAAAACTGTTTCTACCCGTTCTTTTGAGAAACTAGAAACCTCAAGATATACCATATAATCCTGGATAATGTATTGCTTTTTAACCATTCATATAAAGATACCAAATTTAAAACTTACTAATAAGTTACTTTTTAAGGTTATTTGCAAGGCGAATGTGAACAGTAAAACTAATATGATGATGTTACCCATGCACTTAGTTGGAGTGGCTTACTTTAAATGATGAAAGAAATGGGGAGAGAAACTTTCACGTAATTCAGGCCATAATTTTAGTTTAAAATAATAGAAAAACGTTGACTAAGCCAACTATTGAGATCTTATAAAAGTGAACAACTTCATACTCTTACTACAACGGGGAAAAAAACATGAGTGTTTCAAAAATGATTGTGCAAATCGCCTAAAATAAAATTCAAAAGTCTGTTACTAGTTTTCAGTAAAATATAATGAATTAAAGACAAATCGTTACTAAAAATCACACCTGTATAACAGAAGATATGGAGTTTCTCAATATTAAGCAAACGCATTGTGATGTGATTGGCATAAACAATAAACAAGACTTTTCTCTTCGGCAGGCAGTTGCTGGTAATAAGTAACTTTTAGCACTGGAAATATATCAAGCAGTCTCACAATTCAAACTAAAATCAATATCTTATTCTTATGGCTAGTTTATTGATATATTTTTCATTGGAAAAGCAAAATAATCATTCAAAAAAGTCTTTAGGGTATGTTGTAGAATAGTGGAAGGTTTTTATTCTTCAAGCATTCAGCCTAGAAGTACACGACTATCCATTCACCATTCAATAATTTGAGTATTTAATAATCTTAAAATATTTGACCATTAACAAACCCTGAGGATCAATATTTCGAATTGTGCCAGTAAATTATCGAGTAAGCATTGGGGAAAATAGTGGCAGTGACCGCCTTTCCAAACCAAGGTGGGTTTAAAATGAGAACTATTTAAACCACCGCTCCTTCGATTATAAACTTTAGCACTTTACGAGAAAAAACACTCCATTTTCAGAGGTTGAAAGTTAAAAGAAAAAGCATCCCTTTTTGCAGTAATGTTATGCTGCTATGTTCTATCTTAGGATCATCAAAACATTCATTGAGGGTCTATACCACGGTGTATCCCTGAATAATGATCTACTCCACTACGCATTACTATATAGGTGGATGTTTTAGGAGGCTGTTCACGTTTTAAGAATCCATACAAAATATTTTTAATCATTTAGTAAACAATAGGTCATTTATCACAATACGCATAAGCAACACTAACTTGAAATTATTGTAGCAGAAATTTATGATAGACAGTGACGGATTTACAGCAATTGATTGTAGTTAAGACAAGGACTTATTTAATCGCAGTTTGTTACCTTATTTGTTCCTAAAGACCGAAGATTTAGTTTACCAACTAAAAATTAATGCCGAAAATTAGCTGTTTTATTTGAGATAAAAAAGCAGTGGTCGTCAGAGAGCAAATAGAGTGGTGCGTTTGGAAATAAATTGGAAGGTAATTAATTTTAGAAGGACGATTTTGTGCTATTGTGGAGCAACTAAGACCTCAGTACCATTCTAAGATATCTTGCTAATTCATGAAATATTATGCAGTGTTAAATGGTATCTAATACTAAACAAGGGAAGGGATGAGATAATTAGAAGCGTTTGTGGTTCGGACTGCTGATTACAGTGAAGTTTTGTTCACTGAACTGGATAGTTTTATTATTGGGCTTTCATGGTCTTCCTGATTAACATCATTAGAACAAACTTCAACCTGCATTTTAACAATGCTTGGGGCTCTAAATTAATTACCACACTTCCGTGTTTTAATAATCATTGCCAAAGGCCCTTGTATCACTTGCAAGTAACATCTACTGGGTATAACAGCTCTAAAAGGTAGTCTTATTGACATGGTTATACATTCACTCTGAATGGAATTTGATTTAACTACTCAAGTAACAAAATTTACCATATTCATGATACTCTTCTAGCATTCACTGATATAAACAATTTTTTGACAATGGCTTTAAGCTATCGGTCAGTGCCGTTCACTTGAGATTAAACGTCTCAGAATAATATCAGTAATATCGAAAACCCTAAAGGATCTACAACCTATTCCCTGTTACGGTAAAAAAAATGAATTTAAGCAGTTGGAAGTATTTTCTGGTTACTCTCTCGGGAAAATCAGTGCAAAAATGAAGTAAAAACAAGCTAAAAATGAACTTATACTTGTCTCTGAGGAAAATGTGACATTTTCCATTTGGTTGTTTTGCCTTAAAGACACTACTGAGTCATCTATTTAGAGCCGAAATCTTTTCCATATTGTCAGCTTCTCGTACAAGAGACAAGGAGTGAAAACGGCATATCCAATTTATTTGGGCTTTTGTTCTCTTAATTTCCTTTACTTTGATCGGTAGATATAAATTAACCACAACATTAATTTTATCGTTATTTTAGAAATAATTTTCAGTAACTTTAAACGATGCATTATTTGATGAAAGAAAACCTAAACTCCTTTGACCAACGAGAATAAATCGTTTGTTCATCATTTTAAGAAAAAGAAATCAATTGGTTTATACTAGCTCGTGAAAAAAGATATTTGGAATAACTCACAGGAATTGGCATGCCAACGAATAATTTAAATCGTCTCAGAAATTTGTATATTAGTAGTAAGTAATAAAAACAAAATAATGCTCGAAGAATCAGATTTAATACTTTCCATTTCTAGTTAGTATTACTCTTGGTTTTTCAAGTACTTGTGCTAAATTCAGAACTACAATGTCGCTAGGAATTAACATCCAATATCTTTTTCACGAGTTAGTATAAAACAACTGATCTATTTGAGTTCGATTCTTGTTCTTTCTGTACGGTTCCAGTTGTTCGGTAGTGTCCGATGAATGGAGGTCTAGCCTGTCGACTGTCTAATTCTAGTCAGTTGGCAGTTGTTTGTGAGTTTGTAAGTCCCGTGATTTGAATGAATACGTTTGATTCAGGGCATCAGGGTTTCTGGATACTAGCAGCTATCACATTACCAAGCCGAAGATCAGTTAGTTACAATGTGGAGAATAATAAAGTAAAAAATTCTAATGCATATAAGAAGACGGTTTCAGAACTTCGTAAACAAATGCATAGTTTAGTTTATTAATGGGTATTGAAGATAGTGAGCGATGGCCGAATTGAAAACAAGGGAGAGGAAACAGAGACAATAGGCGACATAAATTTGGTTATTGATCTGAGGAGATGGAAATAATAACGATTAGCAAGTCTCAAGGTACGCACCAGGTACCGCTTGTCCACGAGGGTGATGATAATCTGTGTGAGTTTGTGTTTATCAAGTCTCTCCTGAAAGCTGTTCACTGAGAGTGCTGTGGTCACCTCGACTTGGAGAGCATTTCAAGTTGCAACGACACTTAATGCGAAAAGAGCGTAAGCTGTTTGATGTGCAATATTTCGAGGATTCCCTCGAGTGGAGTGGTGGTGATGCATCGGTAAGACGATCACGTTGGGATGGTTTGGCGTGCTTATTGTATTGTACGCCATTATCAAATCACCTCTGATTCTTCTGTACCTCATGGGGAATAATTCTTAATGCTGGGATCTATCCTCGAAATTTTTATATTTCAACCCTATCACTCATGTCGCTGCTCATCTCTGCACTACGTCCTAGAGATTTGTGTTTCTTTTAAGGAGAAGTGGTGCGAATTTGTTGTTAACCTCAAGGTGTAGGCATGCATGTTTCAATCAAAGTTAAGAATATTTGTGGGGTGAAGGCACCAAGTTGTCTTCGCATCAAATGAAGAGTCGCATTTGACTTGGCTGCGTCCGCTATATAGTTCGAAATAAAGTTGAGGCTTTCAGTGGTTAATAAACCGAGATCGCGCTATGATGAGACATCAAGGAGTGGACTTCCGATGAGGGTGTGAGTCATTTGCGTCACGTGGGAAAGAATTTGTATAACGTGTCATTTCTGCTCGTTTAGTTTCAAACTGTTTATCACTGCCCATTCCTAAATAGATCGCTTCTAATGGACCTCCACATCTTTGCATCGTCTGCGTAGATCAATGGCGATGTGTCTAAATGGTCGTTTATAAATGTCAGGAACAGAAGTGGACCTGAGATGGTCCCCTGTGAAACTCCCGATGTGGATACTTATCAGCTAGTGTACACTCTATTTATCTTGGCACGAAACGTTTTATTTTCAAGATAGTTTATGAGCCAAGATACGAGTGGGTCAGTGAAGCCCATTTCCGCAACCTTCGCGATTAGGCGTGCGTGAGGTAATGTTCATAGGCTTTCGCAAAGTCAAGAAATATATTGTGCATCGGTATTTTTGGTCCAAGCATGATGTCCAACTGTGCCATGCTATGAGATTACATGTGAACGACCTACTTTTCCGAAACCCGTGTTGAGCTTCATGGACTACCTTATTTGTTCGTTCACCAGCCCTTCCATCACCTTTGATAGTATTGGTATTTATTTGACTGGTCTATAACAGGCTTGGTCCTTCATGTTTACTCCTTTGAAGATTGGATAGAGAGAGTAGCTTGTTTACATTAAGCCGGGTGTTGGTGTGACTCGAATGAATGCCTGAACAAGTAACATATCGGCGATCAGAGAACTTCTGCACACTGTTTCAAGACTATGGGGCGAATATTGTCACAACCTTGTGACTTTCTTTGGCTCAATGACTTTACTTCCCCTAGTACTAATTCAGGAGTAATACGGATATTCCCTAAGCCGTCAGCTGACACAGGGTTTGCGTAGTATTCTGAACATGTGGATGCTTGGTTTAACTACTCGGTGAAGTTGACGAGGTTGACGAGATCTTCCCCATTCGAACATTTCAGAAACACAAACCCTGTTTCTTAGGTTTTCTTTTAGTCATGAACCTAAAAAGATACTTAGGTTTTCCCTGTAAGTTGATGGCTAGCTTCATCTGAAAGCGTCTCCTATCACTTCGAACTTTGGTACTGCATCTGCTTCTGAATAGCAAGTAAGAACTACTATCGGAATCCCTCAAGGAGACCTTGTACTTGTGCCAGGCTCTTCTTTTCGCTTTTAGCGAGCGTTCATTGCTGCGCCTAAACCGTGTTCTTCGATTTCAAGGTGTGTGGTGTGATTGAGGTACACTGTCTACCGCAGCAATCTGGATGATGTCTCTGACTGTTTGCCAGTGATCATCTACTGTCAGTCCTCACCATTCCCGTGTCCATGGGGCATGTAGAAGGTCCTCTCTCATGCATGTGTATTTCGCTCTAGTGTATCAAAGAGCGAGTGGTTCGTTTATGAACATGCGAAACGAGACTGTGTCATAGTCATAACTTTCTATTGGTGAATAGATGTGAACATCCTCAACCAGGAATTAACCAGTTGTTAACGAATAATCCAGGTCTAAGGACCTTCCCTTTTTAGTCCGTCTGATGTCACTGCATACATTCTCAGTAAGCTCAGAGCTTCTAACGGCTGCGCCAAGTCGCCTTCGGAACTAAACAATGGGACTTGTACCTTGATTGCTGAGATTTTTAGATGGGGTATTGAAATCTCCAGCTAACAGTATTTGATCAAACCCAAGGAGTGGCAGTTGTAGTATTACCTAAGTCCGTTTGTCTTTCTGTGCCGTAGTACCTGAGGGAGGTTGGTAAAACCCTCCAATCAAGTATTTCGTGCCATCTGTGTGGAAACGACGCCAACATGATTCTGTAATGTTTGTTAGTTGGCTGTCGTGTAACTTCTCTGCTTTTAAATGGCTATTTATATATATAGTCACTCCGCCTCTTTTTGAACCCTATCGCTTCGGAGGAGTATCATGCTTTGCAAGCTCACTTCGTCGTCTGCAATGTCGGGGCATAGTGACGTTTCGTTTAGGATTATGATCTTCAGATCCAACTGAGAGCTCATATTCCTGGTTTCCAACAGCTCATCCATTAGTTATCCTACATTGCTATAGAGGCATTTGGTGGTTTGTCTCATCAACTGGTGCACCTCTACAACAACAGCCGTCCTCTGATTTTCAGACAACTTGTTTAAACCGGGTTTGTCAGTTCTGTGGAAACTGGCCTCTGCGAGTTTTTGCCTTTGCAGCGCGTTCAACTGGTGAAACTATTACCTTCGTGTCGTGTGCTGCGGGTTGTTGATCAAGGTCGACTATCAATTTTATGCGCTTATTTATAATAACAATAATAAATTATTCTCAAATAACAAACATGTTACAAGAGACATGCCAATTAACAGACAAGATCAAAAAGTTAAGATTGCTTGCATATTTTTTGTCAAACGTTGTTCAGTAACTGAAATAATTCAAAAGATATATTGGCTTCATATAAAGGGTAAAGTTTTTCACGTGAATTTATAGATAATTTTCCAGATTCTGCAATCTACAGTGCGAATAATTGGCGCTAGTTACAACGGTCGCGTTACGACGAACCGCTAAAGACATCATCGAATCCATTTAAATCTCCAGGAAGTGTAGTGGACTTAGTTAATTGTAAACATTTGATATCTAATCGGGCGCGAATAACAAAGGTTACGTCACAATGAACTGCTAATGGCTGCGAAACAATGCAAGATGAGCCAGGTCTGCATATAACAATAATTGATGAGGTAAATCTGATAAGATCTGGTTAATATTCTTCAGATAATAAAATTACACGCTCCTGGGTAAATTAACCATATCTTCGGAAAATATCCAGACTAATATTTAAGGATTGGAATAAGGTGCTGTAAAAAGAGAAATAAAGAGAACGAGGCCAGGAGAACAACAGAAAATGTTCGTGTTTAAAGCTGAACAGTGGCTCGGCAGATACTTCTTTGGATAAAACAAAGGTATGTTTACTTAGGCTTTTTATATTAGAACACTAACTGTACACCTTCATATATGTAGGTTAATTAAGACAGTTCAGTAGAAAGATAACCAATGGACAATTAATCGTATGAATGGAGGAAATTCAGAAGAACTAACTCATTAGCAACAATGTTGATTTACAGGATATAATAATGAGCCACGGTGATCTGATGCTTTTGTGTTATTTTGTTCTTTCTTTTTCTTTCTAACGCTGTAGTTCAAGAAGTCATGAGTAAGCTCTTTTTCAGTATAATTCTCAACATCTGCTTGTAATGGGATTTCTTGGTAGGAAGTTAAGACCAGTGCAAGGTTACGGACATGAGTCGTAGACGAGGTTAACAAGGAATAGTAACATCAATACCACTAATTTGTTACATCCTGCTATATCGTAAGGAGCTGTAGGCGAACAAGATTTTCCGCCACACAGACATGGGTAGATTGAGGTTATCGCCCCACCGTCATGAGTGCTGGTCAGATAAACCACCCTCTCTCCTTTTGTGATGTTAGGCTCCCTTACATTTAATGGTTGATTTTGAATAATGTTTTTCAGTCTGCTCTCTATCTTTTGTACACATTGTCGGAATACACTTTCTCTACTAGCTCCACGTTACAAACAATCCAGATAACTTTACCTTCTGTATAAAAGACAAAATATCCACGTAGCATATCACATTGATTTTAAGTAATTTAATGGTATAAATTGTAAGATGTGTCAGTTAATAGGCAGCTTGGAGATAGGAATGATAGGGAGCTGGAGAAAAAGGGTTGAAATAGTGTTAAAAATTGGTGAGTGAAGCGATAAGTTGGTAAGCAGGCAAGATGTTTGAATGATAATGAATTGGGGAAGTGAAAACTGATTAAACTGTTAATACTTAAACAAGAAGGAAGTCACAATGATACAGGCAGTTTGAGTTCCTTGTAATTGACAGTAGTTGATCAGCATCTACAGGCTTTTCAATTTATCTGTCTACCAGAAATAAAAACTTAAACTGCTTTGAAGATATGAAAATAATGATTGGAATTTGAATTTAGAGAAAAGTCATGGGTAACACCTTAAAGGCGTAACCTAATACTGTTAATGGGAGCAGAGGGATTTGTCTATCATTTTGCGACACCTGTATGGATGGTGATGCGGGCACATGTTCATAGTCTTTATTTCGTTTCTAAGGTTTATCTGAATATTCGGTGGACCATAAAATAGTAACTCGGGACTTGTGATCGAGTTTCGGCAACAGTCGATAAATCTCTCTAGAGCCTAACAACAGCACTACTAGTTGTAATTAGATTTTCTACCGTAGCAGTTCAATTCGATTCCGATAGACGTATGTTGGAAGCATTCTCCGATTTAGAATATAAAAACACAATAATTCTAGGAGAAAATGGTCTAACAAATTTTACGCCTTCCAATTCAAAATTACTCTGAATGAGTATCGAGGTTCCGAAGATTAGGTGAACTCCTATACCGCACGGTGTCAAATCCAAAAATGTGGCGGTAGCCATATTACATCAAATTTAAACAACATATGTACAGTTCAGAAGCAAACATAAAAACTTCAATATAAGTACAAAATGTAGAAATAATAACAACATACAATGATAAAATCTCAAATTGGAATCAAATAAAATGCCAAAATGTCAACAGAAAAAGTCCGTCATGTCATAACAAAAATATATAAACATGGAGGGATTTTCCAAAAAACAAAACATTCAAAAAAGATTCTACACTAGTATCCTGAAATTGGTGATTGTGTCACGAATAGGGATATTAATCGGTAATCTGCTCCACAAATAAATTACAACGCAATGGCCTTCCTTGTCTTGCTGTTAGTAGTGTACATGTTTTGTTTCTGAGTCTGTAGGCAGAGTCTTGGTACATAATTAGGCGGTATTTCGCGAACGAGAGAGCATTTGTCGGTTTATCGAAAAGTGTCAGGTTTTTTTCAACTGATGGCGCCATAGAGGTTCTAGGGAAAGATGTTTGTATTTTTTCTTGTAGTCGAGGTTATGACTCCTAAATCTATAAATTCACGTGAAAAACTTTAGCCACTTATATGAAGCCAATGTATCGACCGCTAAATACAGCTGATGTTTCGCAAGCCTAATCTTCACTTATGTAAATTTCGTCAGTTTGGTTTCGTCCTACTTTACCACGCGTTACTTGACAGTGGTTGATTTTGGTTAGGTTAACGCATTAATCTTGGGGTGCTAAACGTAAGTTGATAAATTAGAAATGTTCAGTATTTTTCCTGGCATCAATAGTATTAGCCGCTGCCAAGCTAGGTATCTACCATACTAATTTGTTGTAACTGTAAACCAACAAATGTTTCCTCACGTTCGATATATTTCTGGTTTTATGATCGAATGTTTATTCATAACTGCATATCCATTTATCTGAATTTTTAAATAATAACCTAGTAGTAATCCTAAATTAATCGAACCAAATATTTTCTTAATCAGACAAATAGTGCACTCGCGAATTCAGCTATACTTGAACGTCACTAACTTTTTACACACAGACAAATTGTCTCTCCATTTCAGCAACTTAAAAGTTTCTGATTGTAATTGTCCTGAAATACTATGGCTCCTTTCTAGATCAAGTGTTAACAGTCTAAATTATTTTAATAAACCCAACTTACTATCATTCACACGTTATGCATTATTTCCCTTCGCATTACTTTTAAGTTTACGAAGCCATTATTATCACACCAGTCTCGTGCCAATGTATGTATGTATGAAAATGCGATTGCGCAAAAGGTTATCTAATAAAAAGAAAAAGATTTTGAATAATTTTTCTTCAATGTTTTGACCACATGTACATCCTTTAAGTGATGGCTCAACTGGAATAACTATTACTCTCTGTACTACCCATTTCCTTTACCTCTTTTTCGGAGCCGTAGTGAAACACTAACAAAGGAATATATAGAGCATATCTCTTCGTTCTACGCCTTTCTTGCAACTCCTGATATTCCTGGAGACTTGTGGTTATGTTTTCCAGGACCATGGTGAATTTTACCTTAAGAGTGTTAACAAGAAGATCAATATTCGCTGACCACATCAGTTCTTGATATATACATAACTAGACAAATTTTGCAGCAACTCCGGACCATCAGTCATTCATCACAACGCAACAAACATAATTCAAGCAAACCATTGTATTACTATTACCAATTTTATGTGTAAAAATACCAACCATTTAAAGAAAGCCAGTGCATCTTGTAAAACGTCTGTCTAACTGAGCAACCTTTTGCAGTAACCTCGTTAATTTTCACCACAAATTGATCCTATCTGTAAACTGGAATGCCTCATGAAACACATTGTTATTTGAGAATAGATTTTATGAGTATTGTATGTCAATAGGTAAACATCTTACAACTTATGGCATACTAAACACTCCTCGGCATCCCCAAAGTACCTGCTTAGCCTCAGTCTAACGATTGCCTTTGGATTAATCCACAGAAACAAGAGTCGCAACATAGCAAACTGGACAGAAACACACCTACTCTTGTGGATTTGTCAGGTTCTGAAACCATCGTCATAACCAGGTGGCTTGCCAGAATGCTCTTGGTAGACAAAAACAAATATTAGTGCCGACAGACTACATAACCAAAGGTGGAACCACTACTGCATGCAGTTGCCTATGGAATCCAATTTATTGCCTCATATTTTTGCTTTTGGCCCTGAAGAGTATCGGTAAAATTTCGGCACATAATCACTGGCTTTTTGAATGATTTGGATGAGATGCAAGGAAATTCCACTGACCCTATTAGGAATCTCTTAATAACAGCCTTAAATATTATGTGAGAATCAAGGCACAACTTCTTTCTTATGTGCTAATATTTCGATTTAGATTGTTTTGTTTACCTAAATAGTTACATGTCGTCATCGGTAATTCACCACTACTAGATACAGAAGGTCGTTGTTAGTAAGCTTCTTCTATTGCATCTACAACCATTTGCACTAACATTTAAAATCAGATTATCCTTGCTAAACACATAAAACAATTATTTTCTAACTGAAGCACATGACTGATTCGTAAATATTTAGGGGTCATCTTATCTTATATCTTCCTTCCATGTAAGACAAATCATCTGAGAGTAAATCCTAGGTAAATTAAAAAATGAAATCAAATTATTTACGTATGATTTACGTTTTAAGAATTGAGTAGTGAGTAACTGGAATTACCTTGCGGAGTATTTTATTTCAGCACCTCCTGCTAATAATTCAAAAGCGGCATTTTATCTAAACAGCAATTTAGATAGCGAAGAATAATATAGGTCGATTGGCCCCCTATCCTTACTAATGACGGCTGTTAGGTCTCTGTTCAATATGTTTGTTTAAGTTGTCATTCTCTTTCTTAGCGCGAAGAATCAATTAAACCCAAGGTGTTCTGTTTTATCTATCGTCATGACAGCCTCTCCTGAACAAGTAGACAATTCATTTCAGAGTAAGCTTTTTTTGATTCTAAACTTTCCCAATAATTTCCATGCGTTGCGGATAGATGATACTAGTGATTTATTGTTTTGAAAGCTAATCGATATTCAACTGAGTTGTTAATAAAAGAACTACAACTCAGCTCATGAAAATGAATATCGCTCTGAACATCATATACACTAAAAATTTAATTGGAAAAGTAACGGACTTCATCAAAGTTCGGTCCTATTGTGTATGCTTTGTTGTAGTGGGTAACAGTCGCTACGTGCTTAATGAACCAGATGCCCTCCTAATCGCCACTTACTTAACCATTCACAAAATATTTTCGAGGACTATGATCAATCACTCTATCTGTACAAGCTGTTCGAGATTACTACTTGACTGTTTTCTAAGATAACTGCATCATCAACGTTGGATTCCCAAACATGGCCCATAAATTTCGTTTTTCCACTTCGACTTTATTAGTTTAAAACGATGGGGTTAATCTTTTAGTGTTGACCAGCCATATATAAAAAGATAAATATATCCAGTACCTGGGTATCAGAGCCTAATAATGTTATCACGATCGCGTGAAGTTATTTGTTCCAGTAATCTCACTGTCCCCACAATGTTTTTGTATTATTCTCCATTAATATTCACGCATTCATACCTTTTCCGCTTGTTGTTTTTTGCGTAAATTAGAGATGATATAACTCATTCAAACTAAGTCTGCGGGTTCTGTCCTGTCATTTCACAGGGAAAAGTTGTCGCAGACGTTATTCCCACAGAAACTACTATTCCTAAATCTTATCAAATCTCATAACCTTAATTTAACCCGAATGGTCGTTGGAATACGTTGGTGGATTAAGCGTATGAGACAGAAAGGAATTCTGTTATTGAGAAAGTCAGCTTGCTCTGAATCCTCCACTAAATTTAATCATTGTTGATAACACCAAACATCAGTTACTTATCTAGTAAACAAAATGATCTCGTTTCGACCGCAGTATTTACACGAATGTCCGGTTGTAAACTATTCCTTATCAAGTCTGGTATTATTTTCGAATTCCTCATCAATGGGATTCGTACATGGTAGTGTGAAACGATCGACCTACACTATGTCTTTCAAGAATCTAATAATAATTGACTAGTGATAATTATTAATGAAAAGGCTAAATATGTCTGTTTATTCTAAAAACATATGATTGTTTTATACAAAGTGCACGTTTGGCTTTCTTTTGAAGTGAGTATCAAAAGGGGTCACTGCCTCTCTTTCAGAAATAAAATCCATTGGTAGCAAAGTCTCGGTACAGATCCGTGTCAGCTTCCGTATATTCTTCATCGCGTTTTCCGTCGTACGAAGGTATCTGCTTAGTTTCAGTGTCCCAGCGTTTCTAATGTTTATTTTTCGGAACAAGTGCTTGGTCGAGTATATTTCGTCCGCTGACATAATGAGTGATACCTGATCTATCGTTCTGGCCCGCCGCAGATTTTCAGCTTAGTGATAACTCATGTCGCCTATGTCTTGACCTTCTGTCTAAAACTTAACATCAGTAAACACTCTTAAAACACTGAAAAACTGAAGTTGAATATTTTACGTCTTATTGTTTTTGAAACTAAATTTTTGATAATTGGAATTTATTATTGAGGAGCTTTCTGTCGGCATGTCCCTCACGGGACTGGGAATTCTTCGCTGCATCACAAATCAGTAAGTTGGAAGAAAAGTAGGATCGTCCAGAGCAATACGTGGCAGAAATCCATGAAGTCACTGTCAAATAAACAGCCATGTTAGTAGGTGTCGACTATATGTTTGGGGTCCGCGAGATAATCGTAACCGATGGTTGGAGACTTTGAATGACATGTCTCAAAATCGTTTGCTATGGCGCCGGTGCATCCATTCTTTGTGTTCTCTCCAATTATAATGTAAAATCCTTTCTGTCTGCAGATCTACTTTGCTAGATTATACTTCTTGAATAACATCTTTAAGCCCTAACCTTTCCGATTACTGCTCATAGTTGTACTACCTCTCTTACTATGGGATTTGGATTAACTAATGTGGTATGGCAATTTGGACTGATGTATGTACGCACAAATTTCCACGTTTTAACTGACCGACTGAGGTGGTTGACGGTTTATGCTTATATAGATGAAGTAAGCTGGTAAGATTAGGAATAATAAAAGTTTTTGATTGCAATGCCAGACTACTATTAACCGTTTGTTCTCAGCATCAAAAAGATCCAACTAAGGGAATAAAATAGCATCCTCAATGGACAGCTACTTCCCAGCTCCTCTAAATATAACAATGTTAGTAGTTATTATGAGGAACATCATCGTAGAACTTTCACATTTCCATTTATTTCGTAGTAGACTAAACGTATTGTGGAGCTCTATAACATCTACATGGTGTTAGCATGAGTTGTCATGTGGCAATAACGCTCAGATAGCATGTCAAAGACCTTTCACGTTGTACAACCATAAAGTAAACTGTCCCCACCAATGTTCTGTATGCAACGCTACGTAGTTGGACAACAAAGGTGCTCCTGATTGATGTAAGTGTGATATGATCTGAATCTTGCATGTCATACTAGTGTGATAACACATGACATTCGATAATTTCGGACATCACTATGAGTGCAGACATGGTGTCATGCCAGTCTAAAAAAATACTTCCCAAAGATATAAAATGCATACTAAACGCTAATTGCATAACTTGTGTTATTGTTCACTCAGTCTCGAAAAGTCGAACAACAGGTCCATACCTCATACTCCAGGGTTGTTTTCTAAATCTCATAGATGGCGAAGCTGAGAAACGTTAGGACCAAACAACCATGCCTCCTGCGTGACTAGGAGGAATTAAGGGAGAGTTGTTTGCCATCAATCTGTCTTTTTGTACAGTGTTTCCATGATAGTAGGTTCCATGAACCTTTCAACAGAGAATCCTAAATCAAAACCCTGTACATCGAAACAAAGACAAATGTGGTAACCCGTGTCTCACTAAATTTGTGGCCGTCCGGTATTCGACATGTTTTTACACTGCATGCTGCTCGCCCGGAAAACCGTTACTGAATAACATCTCTCAGTTTCTAAATCAAAAGAAGAATACCAAGTGTTGAATACGTTTATTTGTCGCACCACAAATAGACCAACAACCCACAGGCACAAGTGTTGAAGGGCAAGCAAGCAAATGAGCGAATTAGCGAATGAATGAATAGGATTAAAACATACATATATACATAGGAAAGTCGAAGAGTCATCGAAATATTTGGAAGGCTAACATTGAAGCGAATAGAATAATGTGCGCATAGACGTTAAGCAATGTTCTGTCGCATCTGCTCATACAAACCCGACAATAATAGTCAGTGGTACACATGTCATTGCTATACGAATGACTCAGATAAATAATTAAGTCAAATTAAATATGAACAAGGCAGTGTGTGTAGAGGTATTACACAACCCTAGTACCGAGAAACGACCTAGTCCGTGATGATCGTAACAGTTTCCATGCTAGAGATATAATCGATACATCCATGACCGTCACCAAAGCCAGAGTCCACTTCACAAATTAGTCTCACAAGTTCTGCACGATGCGAAAAGAAAATAGGATAGCTTAGATGCGACTATGGCGTAGGTAAGATATCCGTTTGCTAACCAAAAGACGAGTGTACTGCGCAGCGGTTCGCTCCGTCCTACTTTACGGCTTTGAAACATGGCCAGTAAGATTAGAAGATATTCGTAAGGTACTGGTTTACTTCCAGCCTCACGAGTTGTCGTCTGTCAGTGTAAACCGACCAGTTTCATAAAGCTGTAAAAGGCTTTCAAAAACCCATTGTTTAGATGCCAGGCATTTTGCTGAGTCCTGAGTTGTATTCGTTATTTTTATAATATCTTATAAATCAAATCTATGCTTATCTTTACTTTTCAGTGAACTAACATCTTGATGTTTGGTAAAAATTTAATTGTAGCTCATCTTATTTATATTACTACTTTAGTTCACTCAGTCAGTTTTATGCACTATAAGTGATATCTGCTAGTAAGGTTGACCATAAGTCTAGGATGAAGCCGTGGATCTCTGTAGCATCCACCGATCTGATGGATGCCCGAAAACTCATCCCACCTGGCTCTGAACATGATGAAGAACGAAGTCAACTTAGGCGCAGGCTGATAAAAAGCCTGCGCAACGACCGTGAACAGTGGTGGGTGGAGAAAGCGAATGAGATGGAAAAGGCAGCGGCGATAGGCAACAGTAGGCAACTATTTAGACTCACCAAGGAAACTGGTATTAGGAACCCAAGTGTGAGTGAGACTATTTCAGAAAAGGATGGTCTTATTATCCATTCTCAATGTAGGAGACTGGACCTATGGGCAGAACACTTTAAGGATCAGTTCAACTGGCCTCGAGCCACTCTTCGGTTACCCACGATCTCCAGTCATCCTGAATGGCGAATCGACGTAATTCCCTCTAGTCTTTATGAAGTTGAGGAAGCGTTAGGAAATCTGAAGCGAGGGCGAGCTGTAGGTCCTGATAGACTGATCCCTGAAATACTTAAGGATGGTGGTCCAGTTTTAGCAGCTAGGTTGACTGAGATCTTAGGTAAAATCTGAGAACTGGACATAATCCCATCTGACTGGTCTCAATCACTGATTGTTCCAATCTATAAGAAAGAACACAAGTCTTCTTGTGACAATCACACGGGAATAAGTCTAACTAATATAGTATCTAAAATATTGGCCTCGATAATACCTCGGCGCTTAACGAAAGCTTGTGAAGAGCAGACTCGAGAAAACCAGTTTGGTTTTCGACCTGGACGTGGCTGTATAGACCACATATTCACACTACGACAGGTCCTGGAACACAGACACACATTTAGGCGTCCTACAATAGTTGTTTTCCTGGACCTTAGGGCGGCATTTGACTCAGTGGATCGTGAGGTTCTGTGGCAGTGTCTGTCATTGAGAGGTGTACCAGAGAAGTACATCACACCACTGGTCGAGTGAGAGCTTATGGCGAACTGTCACCGGAATTCTTCACTTCAAGTGGTATCCGTCAGGGATGTCCACATTATCCATTCTTGTTTAATTTTATCATAGACATGCTCCTAGAAATAACCTTATCCTCGTCTGAATTTTCAGGAGTAGACCTTTTACCAGGTGGCTCGCTTATTGACTTAGAATATGCCGATGACATAGTCCTACTTGGTGAAGACGCTGACAAAATGCAGAGTCTTCTGACTACCTTAAGCAACAATGCAAGCATGTTCGGGATGCGGTTTTCCCCGTCGAAATGCAAAATGTTGCTTCAAGACTGGGTTGCATCGGCACCTGAACTAATGATAGGGAGTGAAGTAGTCGAACGTGTAGACCGCTTCACTAATCTGGGGAGTCTCATCAGTGCAGATGGCCTGGTGACTGACGAAATCTCATCTCGGATATAGAAAGCTCGATTGGCTTTTGCCAACCTGCGTCACTTATGGCATAGGCGAGATATCCGTTCTCTAATCAAAGGACGAGTGTACTGCGCAGTAGTTCGCTCTGTCTTACTTTATGGCTGTGAAACATGGCTAATGAGAGGAGAAGATATTCGTAGGTTACTGGTTTTCGATCATAGGAGTCTTCGAAGCATAACTCGTATAATATCTTCTAATCCTAACCTCTCCGATTACTTCTAATACCTTTACTACCTCTTCTACTATTGGATTTGAATTGACAATTATATCTCTTTGCTCATGTGGTATGGCAACATGAACTGATGTACTTACGTACGAATTTCTACTTTGCATCTGACTGACTGAATATATGCACTATAAGACGATACATATGTTTCAGCTTCAGCTGCCACACATTAACATTGTGAAGTAAAATTCTCAAGCCAAATCTTGGAGTCGTAGGAATTGTTACACCATCAGTTGTAGCAAAGAGAGGCATAAAAATATACAAGATTTCAATAATTAGAGTCTAAGAAGTGATGAAGGGTGGAAAAATATGGACTGTCTCAGTTAATTTGAAGACATTCCACCCAACCTCTCCAACCTTTTGTTAGGATGGTCACGTAGACTTCATTATGGTTCTGTCCGACAGGTAGTGACTCCATGAACTAATTCGTCTTCTAGCGACGGTCTGGTGGTTTAGGCGTTCGACTCAGCGACTAAGTACCAGGTTCAAAACCTAATCCACCTAATTTGGCTCAGACAGTCGAGTAGCACCGGTAACATCCATAATGTTGCTCATCCAAATACCTAGTGGATGAATTAGTTTGTTATTTTATCCCTTGCACCAGATAACATGTTAAGGCACTCGGTATCCCAACCACCTCAGTTCCTAGAGATTCGCTACCTTACCAACTGGTTCGTTTTGTATATCTAGTACCCTATGCCTATCCTCTTCGACGCATTCTCCCAGGTAGATAAAAGGGTCAACGATGTCTCTTCACTATTAGGCAAGATCAATAGTGTTTCACTATTTTATGTATCTATTTTTGTGAGTACAATCTAAGAGCTAGACAGTGTCTTATAATCATAGTTTCCTGATAGACTACGTTGTATTGTATTACTTATTACCTTCATAAGAAATGTTTAACGAGAAACATGCTCACTACTCTCAGCACAGAGATTCTAGGAGTGATGAGTTAATTCATCATTTTTAACTTCCTAGTAGATAACGCTTAGAGTAAACAGAGAATGCACAATTGAACGGTTTGTGCGGCTTGCTTGGTAGAAGTTAAGGAACAGATGTTCTATTGCTGATTAGTTTTATAAGTAACATGCCGAGCCACGTAAAGTAACTTAGTGTAACCTTGGGGATTGTTTGTAGGAAAATAGCGTCTAAAGGGTAGTAGACATGACTCAATCATTGTGTATTTACTTATTCAACTATTTTTCAGGTAAATTAGTGTACTTGACCAGTAATACTATCTAGGTGGTAAAGTGAGGTTCAGACTCTTGACTTCATGACTAAAAGGTCTTAATTACTGAAAATCGAACATCATAATGTCCTGATATGCCGGTTCTGCTCTTTTTCCTTCTGATTCCCCTTTACTGTTGGTGTCAATCCCTAAGCTGTAGACTCGAATCACCCATCGAATTCAGTTTATTGCAGGCAGATATGCAAGTTTGCACCTGGTTACTAGGTTGCATTATATAGTAAGAAAAATTTTCCTCCAGTTTATCCTTTGCTTATCTTCAAGATCGAAATGTAGCAACTGAAGTTTATATATCCTGTCTAGTTTTACACTGGTTATATCTTTCTAGTAGTAAATAAGAAATTAAATCTCAGTAGTACTTTCAGTTGCAATTAACATAATCTAGAAATTACGCTCTTTCTGTCATCACTGTTTGATAATCCTGCTGTTAAATTTCGATTTTTGAGTAGTATGAGAAACATGCATGTCTCAAGCTTTTGATCGTCGATATTTTCAAAGCATCGTGGTTGGTTAAACTATCTCGTGATGTTAGATCAATAGATATCAAATTTACTTTTTACATACTCACTTGATGGGTAAGATTATCTTATCGTTATCGGGTAGTTCGTGGTACTCTAGAAATAATACTCTTTCCTATAATTTTTATTGATACAAATTCTTTAAGCTTTGTCAAACTTTGATCTTTTTAGGTATTCCGGAATCTGAAACCCACTTTCGGAGTGGGAACCTGGCACTTTCTCACTTGGATGATGTTATAGATTCCGTAGTTTCTGAAGCTATCGAATACGCTGATAAACCACCGGAAGAACGAACACTTCCCAAATTAATCCGTAAAGCTCCGCCGCCTCCACGTGTTCGGCCGCCTTTAAACATGGGAGAATTTAATCAGGGGCGCAATTTCGCTACACCTAATGGTATAAACCAAATGCCATTTCTAGCTGGTGGTAATCAATTTCAACAAAAGCTTAATGAACAATTTCCGACTATGGTCCCTTTCAATACTGGTCAAGCCGCTACAGCAGCTCAGCAGCAACTACTAATGCAGTACAATGGTCAGTACCCAGCTCAGCAGCAACAACAACAACAGCGTCAACAGCAGCAGCAACAGCAACAACAACAACAGTACTCACAAGCTGCTCATTTTCAGGCTCTACAAAACCAACAAGCTCAGTATCAGGCAGTAAATGCAGCTGCATTAGCTCAGATGCAGCAACTGCAACGTCAACAAATGCAGGTATGATTGATATTTTGTGAGAGTATATCTTTTTGATATGATTTACTGAATTGTATTTTCTCTTAAGTGGTACGGAATCATCACTTTAAGAAATGGTGCTGAAAATAAACTGTCACTTTTTTATGTCACATTCTGTGATTGAGGCCACCGATAGGATTGTCCTTAGACTGTCCATGTCGTGTTTGAGAGTGCTCCCAAAGTTCTGTTTCATGGTTTTCATCATCCCTGACGCTCTCTTTAAGTTTTTCATTTGTGTTTATTTTGTTACATCTTAAACATGTTGTATTTGTCCAACTTTTTAGTTTTTTTTCATAACTTTAACAAATCTTGATGAGTTCAACGATCTCTTATTCCATTCAAATTGTTAAGATTTCCCCAAACTGTTTATAAATAAGAACCTACATATGTGATTCGGTATTTTAATATTTAGTTAAAACCTATGGTTTACTTTCACGTGATAGTCATATTTGTTGATACCGGTGGAAGAATGGTAATGAAAGACGCATTGGTTGGAATTGAAAAAAAAATGCTCCAATGTATGTTATTGTTGAATTCCAGGGTAGTGTTGTGTAGTTGTTAAATTCTATGTGGATTTCAAATATTTGAAAGTCAAGAACTTTCTGCTTATAAACTCAGTTTCAGTTCAGTACTTTTTACACCCAATAAGGGATACTTTCAAACTAATTGAAATTACACAGATTAAATTTTTATAATATATTCAAGTTGTGATGTCCAGACCTCCGTAAAACCTTATCTACAAGATACAAACATTAGCAATGATTGCCTTAGAGGTAGGCGTTATTTGAAGAAAAAAAAACTCAGCATTCATAAACAATTAAGGTAAGTGCTGTGTTTGCTTTGAGTTTAAATTTTGAATGCGTTTTTGCTACTAGTGCATTCCACACCCCATAATCCTCGGGTTTTTTGTTCTTAATCTTAGTTAAACATATATTTGTATATTTTTCTCTATAAGGTTACATTTCGCATAAGTTGTCTGTGTTAGAAAAATAGATTTACTGTCTTTTTCGTAAAACTATAAGAATTGGCCGTGTTTTGTTTGTCTTTGTTTTCCTTCTCCCCCACCACCCACCCTATTTTATATATAGCCATTGCTAGTCAGACCTCCTTGTTCATCATTAGTCATTGACTGGGTAGAGAGAAAAAAAATTTGGTTAGCATGTGAGCGACATACAGACAGAACTAAGCCTATGTAGCGCATATGCATCGGTGTTAGGGTTAGCACATTGATAATAAATCTATTGACCATGACCAGGCAAATGTTTTTTGTAGGTTATTTGTCTGCATGTCTAACCAAAATCTTGTCAGCTAATTTTTTTTCTAAGTTTAGTCTGTTGGTCCATCCGACTAAAATACTGTCAACATATATTTCTTAAATGGCAATGAATGAATTCACATTATGTAGTAGGAGTAGTAAAATGTTCTTTCAACTTAAAAAAAACAACCTAGCAAAAGCTACATCAAAAATTGCATTCATCGTATTATCACTTATTAGTGTATATAGAGCGTATAAGTAAACAATAAGACTCATCTGTTATACACTTGGTCATCACTGGTTGTTTCTTGTGTAATCAGCGAATTTACATTAATTCTGAAGTGAATTTATACCATTTCATATGTTAGTACGTCAAATATTGTGTTCGTTTTTTAGTGGTAAAGCAGTGCTTTGGTCGTTAGGAGTGTTAGATCTAAGTCTCGAACCTTACGTCTTCTCAGCTCATCTACTTTGGTTAGATCAGACGGATAGTGTTACCAGCTTTTACACTGAGTTCATCGCAAGTTAGTATAACAGCGTCCTTCGAAAAGCTGGATGCACTCTTCTTAATGAATACCAAATAAAAACGAAGTAACCGTTCAACTATTCATGTCTTTATCTAGCTTCAGCGAATCTGACGTAGATTACAAGACATGAATAATGAACATATATCGATATCAGTATTAATTTCTTAAGTTCGCTGCCATTCACGTTACATCAGTTACATAAGTAGAACGTTTATCATACATGTTCATGTTTTATAAATATTGTAACTTTTTATTGATTAGTATCTATTCCACATGGTACCCAAAGTCACAACAGCATGTAAAATTTTCAGCCGTAAATTATATTGACGGATGAAGCTGTGCCACAGCCAACCAGTCAGAAAACCCGTGCCCGTTACAAGTGTTTATAATTTGAGGAAACACAAAGCATGGATGCACCTGCACCACTGCAAACGATTTTGAGCCATGTCGTTCAACGTGTCTAATCATCCAGACTGCAGTAGCCAATTGTTAGAGACGTTGAACGACATTGCTCAAAATCGTTTGCAGTGGTGCAGGTGCATCCATGCTTTGTGTTCTCTCAAATCCTAATCTTTTGAATTCCGCATCAACTCTATCTTTTTCTTAATTTATTTCGCTGAATCGTACTTCTTGAATAATATCTTCGAACCCTAATCTCCTCCATTACCGCCAATACTTCTACTATATTTATCACACTGATATATGTATTTACATTTCGATCTGTGTGCTAATGTGGTATGGCAATTTTGACTAATGTATGTGTGTGCGAAGTTCTACATTGTTGCTGACTGCCTGTTGATAGTTGACGCTTTGCTTACTTATGATATTTTAATATTTTTTCATCGATTAGTTATTCGTATAAAGTTGTTTCACTTATATATAACAGGCGTGCCATTTAAATTATTACATTGTTCTTCCTTTCAATTCGAATTTATCCTAAAAATCATAAATTTTAGGAGAATAAACCAAAAAAATCCTCAACATTTCTTTCTTGTTTTATTTTCCCTAGCGTCAGCAGCAGCAACAACAACAACAACAACAACAAATGTCTACTCCTAATCGGCATATGTTATACTCTGCATCAGGTTCTCCTCCTATTAGTCCAGCGGTAATATCAAACTCCCCCGGTTCTCAACAACAGCAGCAACAACAAGCTCTAGCTTCAGCGCAACAACAGTTGCATCAGTTATACGCAGCTGCTCATCAATTACCTGGTAAGCATGTCATCTTATGAAATTTTTCGATCAGATTATCTCTACATAGTATCAATAGTCCTCTTTCTTGTTCGTGTGTATATATAAGTCCATCGAAATTAGTACGTTTCTGAAAGGTCTTTTTGCTTATTTGGATCATAAGAGTACCTAATAGTGTCAAGTTATTTTTACCTTGTTTTACTCAAAATATATTCCATTTCCTGGGAGTACAACAGAAACTACCAGTTACTTAACTTTAGTAGCTATAATTTGAAAAGATGTGTTCGTAATAGTTTTTGGATGAGGACTCGGGAAATACTAATCATCCGAGAAACTGTAACTAACTAGATGTAGGCTACCTGGTTGGGGTCTGCGAGACGTATGTTACCGATGGTTAGAGGCCTTGAACGATATTGCTGAAAATCGTTTTCAGTGGTGCTGGTGCATCCGTTCTTTGTCTTCTCTCAAATTCTAATCTGAATTCTTCATCACCATCTTCCTCTTTGTCAGTTTATTTCGTTGGATTATACTTCTTGTATAAGATCTTCGAACCCCAATCTCTCCGATTACTGCTAATACGTCTACTACCTCTACTACTATGTGATTTGAATTGATAATTGCGTCTTTGTGCCAATGTGATATGGTACGTACGTACGATGTTCTACGTTGTAACTGACTGTCTTTTGGATTCTACTGACTACGTTAAGTTATTAGAGTTGTTTGGTTATTTGTGGAGTCTCTGTAATTTTCGTGCAATTATCGCATCGTTTTCAATGAGTTTTCTCTGGTTTTCAAACTAACAAAAGGTCTTAAACACTTGCTTGGTAATTTTACTGACTAATTAGATCCTACGTCATTTAATTACTTAGTTCGAAATGAGAAACTAATGCGGTTTGAAGGGGCATACTAAGTAAATCCTTCTGCATCATTCCGTCTACTTCTAATCCATATCCCCTAAGTCTGTGCTCATTTGCTGCAATAATCATGCGGACCCCAACCAGGTAGTCGACGCCTACCAACATGACTCAGTTCGACTGTCAGTGATGTTATTGATTTGATAGCACATTTCTGATCGCTCCTTAGTTATTTTTCATATCAGCCTATACCGACAAACACTGTGCGTCAAGGCTACTTCACATACTCAAGCGATATGGTTTACGTAGCTTAAGTAAGTAAGTACTTAATGTACAAAGTTTTAGCCGTTAACTAAGCCTCATTATCTGAGCATAACTATCTATTAAGTGGATGAAATAATTTTCGAATTTCTTGCTAAGTCACTTCATGTGTTTTTCTAATCCAGGCATGATGCAAACTTTCCCTCCAAATCAAGGGCAACAACAAACAAACATTCAACAAACTATACAAGCTCAGCAACCTCAAGTACAACAACAGCAGCAAGTATGCAACCAACGTGTTTGGACAAACGCGGAACAACTTCAAGCAGCTCAGCAACAACAACTTGCTGTCGCAGCAGCAGCTGCTGCAGCGGCGTTTAACCCGAATTCAGTACAACAACAATATATGCAACAGCAACAACAACCTTCACCCCAACAACCGAATCAAGCAGCTCAACGTATGACAAACGATTTTCAAACGTATGCCTATCAACATTGAATTTTGTAAACAAACAAGAGCTATAAACTTCTCCAATCAAGAAAATTGGTATTCGTTTGTACTGTTCCTTATATATATATGCAAATTTTTGTGACTTTATTTCATGCATTTGCCTGTATGTTCATTTGTCCACTAAAATACTGCAATTAGAGATGAATTTAGTTTCTAATATTTTTAGCCTGTCAACAGCTGCCTTTTCTCTTTTTTCTTTATCTCATTGTTCAACGATCTTCCTCGCTCATTTTTCTTGGCAATTATTCATGAAAGGTTTCGTGCCTTGTCGTTGCATTTGTGTCCTGGATCATTATCTTCTTTTCTGAATCTCTCTGAATGTATGTTTACGTGTTTGCATTGTGTATTGATGGAGAAAACCTGTTGTACAGCCAGTTCGTTTTGTTTGTTCACTCATATCTTATGAATATTCAACATCCCTTCTAAAATCTTACACAGTGTACGCATTTAATTTTTTATTTTATTTTGGGAATATCATAATTGTCCAATTTTCCTTTGGGAACAATTTCTTTTTTGCAATATCTCATATATATATATATATATATATATATATATAAATCGAGTTAATGTATGCTAACAACTTACTGATGCTTCATTATTTGCCTAGTGGCCACCACATTAAGTATTCTTAATTTTTTTTGATCTGTTTTTCTATCGAACACTGTAAATTTATGACATTCCATGTTTTTTGTGAGATACATATGTTAAATTGAATTTTTCTATTACCATTTTACATCAATGTTATTGACAACAATTTCACAAGTTGAACTTTTTTAAGTAGAATAATAGGTCACGATGGTTTATCGAATGGAAATCCAAGTTTCTACCTCTGTTACAAGAAAACATGGATTTCTTTCATTATTGAACTTACTACATCAATTGGTCACTTGTGTTCTATATTTGACGAAAAGACAATTTAGTAATTAAATTATTCTTTATGCCACTTTGTAATTTCATATTAATTCCCATTTAATTAATTATATTGTTTATTGGACAATCACATTTTATTCCAGTCAACAAATCTTCTATATAGTTCATTATTATGCACTTAATTATTTTTTAGTTCATCTTAATGCTGGGTTGTTTTTGTCTTCTTTCTTTCGTTTCGTTTTTTTTTTAATCTGGTGGACGTTGTCAGTAATAATTTACACTAACTGTTTGTCCAGTCCAATAATTTTGGACTTGTTATTTTTATCCCTTCTTTTTTTTTTCATTAATATTACTCTACAAGATCAATGTTCATTATTCACACCAATTTTTTTAACACATGGATCACCTCTATTTTTTTTTCTCAACTTGGTTATGTTTCTTATTTGTTAGCTCTCTATACTCGATTGTAACAGAACAAAAACTATGACGTATTTATTCTTCTTCTTTGCAGGATAATTATTGTTACTATACTGTTATTCTTCATTACCTGTATCCTATTCATTGTGTAATTCATGTCAAAATGAGCCAGTGTCCATATTACATAAAATTAAACTACTTTTTTTTTGTTTTTATCTTACTCTGGTAGTATTTTGATAACATGTTTAGACGCCTAACTTATTCATAGTGTAAGGTAGTTTTCAATAGTATATATATAATCCCATCTTAACATCAATTAATACAAGTCGAAATCATCTACTTAACATGAAAACTTGCTACAATAAGTTGAATTAGTTGTGTATTTTTTTGTGGTTGATACACTACCACATAATGAACTGTTAAAAAAGCATTTAACAATGAAAAGTAAGTTTATAAGATAAAGAATAGAAATGTATATCGGAGGTAAATTCTTACGAAGTGAAGTTCATATTGATCTATTTTGTCTGTGATATAGGCTTAGTCATCTAGTCTACTGTTTGTTGTTTTAAGTTTACAAACCATTCTGCATCTCAGAATATTTCATTCATTATCTAAGGATAATATCCTGCTAACATTTTCCATGGATAATTCATTTGTAATTGGGATATATTTGGTATTGTTTATGCCTGATTTTACAGTGGGCCTCACCATTTCCGTGATATCTTAAATGTGATTGTTTCTTTCTGGATGTATTACTTTGAATGGTTTCTAAAATCTGCAATTCCAGGCCGAATTATTTTATCGGAAGCTTTACTGTTATGGACGTCGCACAGACAGTTCAAGATAGATTGATGATCCTGAATACAGTCTAACATAAGCCTATTGACTATCAGGTCCCAATGTAGTTATTCGCAATATCTATATTGTTAAGATGATTAGATAATTCGTCAAGTAACAGTAACATTTGGCATTATGTGTATCTTGTGCCAGATTTCCTAGAACGACTGGAATATAACGCACTCAAAGTCTATTTGAGTTAGAAGGCTATTTTAATTACTCGGAAATATATATATATATATATATATATATATATATATAATATATAATATATGAGTATTTAAATAATAGTAGTAGTAAATCATTGTTAAATGTAGCTGACATGCAAGGCGATAAGGCGTCGTCATATGTCCAAAGTAAAATTGACAGGTTCGAAATGGCTTTCCATACAAAATACATGTCAACCAATAGGAGTTTAGCTTATTTGTCGATATTTAGTTTAATTAATGAGATACAGGGGAAAGGGCATGAACACTGCTAACTAATAAGTATTACGTATAAAGCAAGAATTTCACATTCTGTAGCTTTAATGGATATTTCAGCTGATGAATTATACCGCATGGGTGTACAGCACCATCATTTATGACGACATTACGGTTGCTTAAAATCAAGCCAGTTTGATAAAATTGTGTATATGGACATTCCAGTTCCAAATCCATTTACGACCGATCACCATATTAGACAGGAAACAATGGTTTATTATCAGCCAAAATGATAAGAGTCCGACTGACCGGTTGATGCGCTGTTTTCAAATAATTCGACACTACACCGTAAATGTTACTATTCTTTTTAACAAGTAAACTAATTAGGAGGCTTTTTCATAAGGGAAATAAATTATCTTGGTTTCCATCGGCCTAAACTCAAAGTAGGTTATTGGGGTTCTTCCTGAAAGGTATGGAAGGAGGACGCGTATTCAAGCTAGGCACTCAACGTGGCCTTAAGTAAGAGTTAGTGACTTGAATCCAGCGGATGTCTTTTTGTGAATAGCAAATAGTAGAAAAATGAAATCTTTTTATTCGAATCGACAATTTCTTGAATTTTTTTTTAACTGCTTATTTTTTACAGCACTGATACGTGATCATATTTGACTCATTATTTAATAGTACATTTTGGATAATAAATGTCATTTAACTCACCTGTGTATGAGATTAAATTTTCATGTCTAGGCGTTTTGTTTGCACATTCATCATAGATTGCGGCTGAATAATAACTACTGGTGTTAAAATCATGAACAGATAATAATCATTACATAACAAGATTCAAGGTATGCAGAGGTCAAGATCAGATGCAGTATATATATTTGTAGAAAACACAGTTTATTTACAAAATATGTACACGTGATCTTCAAACAACTGTTTGCAATACAAACAGGCTTCTGAATGTCTTCTCTTACATTTTCTGTCTTGAATACTCTCTGATTGCGCCATAGATTTCGGTTTCCAGATACTCTGCTGTGATAGCGATGTCTAGGTAACACTTTTTTACGTGATACTCTTATACCACCTTGTGAGTAACGTCCATCACGAAGGTAGAAGTCGTCCATTCTGAACTGTCATTTTGTAGCATAAAAATATGAGAACTTTTATGTGATTATCTGTGTTAACTTTGATTAATCGGTTGTGTGAAACTGAGTTCGAATTTCGTCTAGAACTTAATAGAGTCGTGAACTCATCATACTTCAAACAATCTACACTGTACAGTAAAATGAAAATTTATTCCAATCAACACATATCCAATCCATATTTATTAGTAAACATACAAGTCAACCTTTTTGCCATATCTTATTACTCTTCAGAACTATGCACCTTATGCCCTTCGGTAAAACTGTATTTAAAGCCTTTAGTCCGACAATGTTTAATTGATGAATAGGAATTAAGTGGTCCACAATGACCATTTGTGATTTAACTAACTAAGAAGCTATGGATAAAAACAATTTACAAATAAAACAATATTCATTAACTTATATTCAACAATCGCATAAGTTTGACTGATATGATATTAATTGGGTAGATGATAAGCTAAATTCAAATGTTCATTTTTAAATATTTACAGACGGTCCGTGATTTGACTGTAACTTGAATCTGCGACTTTAACACTAAACTAGTGCAAAGATAATTTTGGATTATATTGACAAACATGTTATTTTTTCAAATAAATATCTGATTAAGATATAGTGACTGATGTAAGTTTTTGAAAAAAAAAAATATATATATATATATTCTCTACCTATTCCCTTCCTATTTTGTTGGCTTTTAGTTCAAACATGTCACAGCAAAAAAAATCAGTTTCAAGTTTAATTTAATGCACCGCAAGGGTTTACATGAAATTAGAAGTATACCTAACTCATATCTTGTCGCTTAGTCTGGTATTCTTAGGACAGCCGAATCTATTCGAGCCAATGGGTTGGAAATCCAGTTATCATTATCATTTCTATTTTTACTTTCTGTTGAGTAAATAACATTTCACTGAGCTATCGAAACATATTAAGATGAGTCCAAATTCTAGTTCTAACCGTATTTTAATGGCTTGACAACATTTAGAAGAAAAATCCAACACGTATAAACTTAATGAATTAAAAATATCTCAGACCTTAAATACAGATGGGCTTGGACTTCAACTTGTTATTGGATGAACACAGGATACAAACACCAAATTTACACCAAGCACTTGTTGGTAATTTATGTTCACGTGATGCTGAACTAACTCTAGTTGCTACAACTTCAAATAATTATAGCTGTATTAAGTGAATCGGATTGGATATCTTCAAAACTGAGTAATCTGAAATTTAATTAAGCCAAATTTTTCATCGGGCTTGTCTTAAGGTAATAATCAAGTGAAGTTGATTCATCTCTTTTTGACCATTTTCAACTCAACACTACACAGAACATTCTAACTTCAAACCTTTAAGGAAGATCGTCCAATCTAGCATCCTCCGACAATGGATACGAGAGGTGTTGCCATAATGTACTGAACAAATTTGTTATTTTGGTGTTTGCATCCATGATCCATGTAAATAATAATGATAATAAACTAACCACTGAAATATAAGTGGATCATTATGGAACTGATTGGTTGTCAGTCAGTCAGTCAATTACAACGTAGAAATTCGTACGTGCGTACGTCAGTTCAGGTTGCCATAACTCATAAGCACACAGACGCCACTGTCAGTTCAAATAACAAAGTGGTGCAGATAGTAGAAGAATTACTTGTGATGAAAATTATTAAGGATCGAAGATATTATTCAAGGAGTGTATTTTAGCGAGATAACTTTAGAAAGAGAGATAGAGATGATGAGGAATTCAGAAGATTAGAATTTGAGAAAACACAAAGAGAGTGGATGCACTTACGCCATTGTAAACGATTTTGAGCCATGTTGTTCAAGGTCTCTAACCATCGGTTACTATCGTTTCACAGACCCAAACCAGGTAGTCTACACCTACCGAAATGACTCAGTCCACTTGTCAGTGACTTCGTGGATTTGTGCCATCTTTTGGTTTGGCCACCCCCAGCTTTCTTCCAACCTACTCCTACACCATAAAACATCGCTTGTCGGGGCAGTTGGTGGCTGGGCATACGTAACACATGTCTTAACCACCTCAACTGGTGAAGTTTCACTATTTCATCTATTGATCTACCATCCCTACCAATTGCCCGTTTCCTGACGATAGCATTGCTTACTCGATTGTCTCAGGATATACGAGAAATGTTTCGAAGAAATCTATAATCAAATACTAATAACCTACGAATGTCTTCTACTCTTAACGGCCATAAAGTAGGACAAACCGAACTGTTGCACAGTACCATCATCCTTTAGTCGGCAAACAGATATCTCGCCCATTAGTGACGCAAATTGATAAAAGCCAATCGAGCCTTCTGTATCTGTGCTGAGATTTTGTCAGTCACCAGGCTATCAGCACTGATGAGACTTCCGGGAGAGGTGAAGTGATCAACCTGCTCAAGTGCTTCAATCTCTATCACTAGTTCTGGTGCCAATGCAAGCCAATCCTGAAGCGAAATCTTGCATTTTGAAGGGGAGAATCGAGTCCCAAAAAGGGAGTAGAATTGTTGTTTAAAGTAGTCAGGAGACTGCATTTTATCAACATTTTCACCAAGTAGAACTATCGCATTGGCACATTTTAAGTCGATCAGTGATTCTCCTGGTAGGTCTACTCCTGAAAATTCAAACGAAGATAATATTATATCTAGGAGCACGTCAAAGTTAAATAAGAATGGAGAAAGTGGTTAGCGCTGACGGACACCACTTGAAGTAACCAATTCCGATGACAGCTCGCCAATCCAGTCTCGTGGGTTGAGAGTGAATGATAAAGTCATACTTTTCTGAGATAGTTTTGCCAACCGACAGGT